TTTAACGCCAAAAATGTTAGTTTATCTTTCTTTCTATTATTATTTGAAACCAATAAAAATGTATTTGTACACTCTAAAAAAAGTCGTAGATTAATAAACTACAATAAAAGAGTTTTTTAGACTAAAAACCTAATAAAAAAACCCAAAAGAGTTTTTTTAACGGTTATTTTAGGCCAAAAAACTCTGTTGATTTTTTGGTCATTTTTGAAAAACCGAGGAAAAAAATAACAGGGTTTTTTTAAAGAGTTTTTTAGACCCAAAAAGCTCTCCCAAAAACCGTGAGTTTTTCATTTTGAAACGACCAGAAACGCTTTTTTGTTTTTTGGCCTAAAAAACCCGTTAAAAAACTCTTTTGGGTTTTTTTATCAGATTTTTAGTCCAAAAAAACTCTTTTATTGTAGCTTATTAATCTACGACTTTCTTTTAAAGTGATATGATGAAAACAAACAATAAAATCATTATTTTTTTGTCAGTCCTCCAGATCTGCCATGCGACAATGTCAATGTAAAATATATATAAATTCTCTTTTGTATAATGCTAGAGCGAAAAACACGAATAATAACCATCATGACCTTTTTATTTATATTTTTGGATCACAGAATTCATATAACTGTATGGGTACGTACAGATACCATCGAGTGTATCTTGCGACTAACATCTAGACATTTGTGTTTATCATTTTAGGGGAAAATATTCACTATACCTTTCCTCTATACTCTTCGAGACTATCGATATCAGAACGATTTCAAGATAGTCACCGCTTCAGAGAAAAAGCTTTGTCGAACGAGAAAGTTCATAAAACAGGCATATTTTGTAGAAACATGCGCTGGAAGACTTCTTCTAATTCGAAACATGTGGCTGAACTGCTTTGAATGCTTGTCGGTGGTTAGAGTCATCCACATGTATTTCAGATAACATTCCTCCTCCCTGTCTAAAGTGTCAATTTTATTCTCTTGTCTGTCCGGCTAATGCTCTTTATTGAATATTCCTGAGTGCCATTTAGGATAAATTCGTCAGAAATCTTCCAAGACTCGTTCTATTAAACTTATGTTAGTTAATTAGGAAGACTTTCTAACGCGCTAACAGCTGAAACTGAACATTTTTTTATGAATTTTGATTTCGATAAAACCGTCAACTGAAAAGCATGATCAGCTCTTTCACGATTTTTCTCTTCACGCTTTTATTTTCATTGCTTTCCTTTGGTAAATTATCAGTTCACGATTTTATTTCTACAGCTTTGAGCTTTACGATATTTTTTCATGGTTTTAATTTTACAGCTCTCAAACTGACGTTTTATTTCAGGATTTTCCTTCGATGGTTCGAGAGCGGACGATTTTGTTTCTATGGTTTTAACCATTACGGTTTTACTTTCACAGTTTTTCCTTTATACTTTTGAATTTCACGGTATTCATGATGTAGTTTGCTACTTTATGATTCTTCTGTACGGTTTTCTTTCGATGGTTATGGATTTCACAGTTTTTCTTACGGCTTTTTATCTTACCGTGTAACCACTAATTTACTGTTTTTTCTTCTTTTTATCGTTCTTGGTCAATTCATCAGGTCGCCTGTTTACTGAAGAGTACAATGCTTAGAATCAAACCAATAGACTGATAACCACCTCCAAGTACTTTCCCCAACAAACTAAGTACTATGGAGCACGACATATTGAATAAATCTGAACAAAACATTATATTTTTTTCGAAACATATTTACTTTTTCACTAGCTTTTGACTCGGTTTTCTCTCGCATCAACCACTTTATCACAAGGCAAATCTCTACATGATACAGTGAATCAAGTTGTACTTGAGACCGTATTCGTGCCCCAGAGCATATAAAAACATGATAAGTAAGGATAAGACGAAACTGACAAGCTTTCCGTAAATCATTGTAAAATGTTAAAAAACGAGTATAAAACACGTTTTAATATTAGAATTATTAAAAATACTAAAATAGAATGTTTTTTTCTCTGAAAGATAAATACAGAGCCATATGTATCATTCATTTCAAAAAAATTAACACGTTTTTCATTTCGAATCAGTCAAAAAAATAACGGGAACAATTACCATCAATGATTCATTATAAAATCCATTATAAAGCGCCCTTGGTATCTGGTCTTATTTTTTAAAGAAATTATTTCATACTGACTTTGATTATACACTTGTATTCGAATGATATTTTCACGTGGGTTACGCTGAATCCAGACTGATTCACTAATTTTCGTTGAAAGCGTACCCAAATATCTATAAAATTTCTTAAAATTTCTGCCGATATAATTGCTCCTCAGTTGCATCATATCTTTTCCTTATCTCTTCAAGCTGGTGTTTTCCCTTCTTTATGGAAACAATCCTTAATCAAGGCCATTCACAAAAAAGAAAGTAAACTTTTAGTCTCTAATTATAGACCAATCTCGTTGATTTCCAATGTCAGTAAAATTCTTGAAAAATTAATTCATAAGCACCTGCTTTTGTTACATCTACTAACTTTTTCTCGTCTAGCCAATTTGGTTTCCGACCTAATTGCTCTACAATCGACCCTTTACTCTTAATTACTCACAATATTTATCAGCATCTGAATAACCGACGCAAAATTGTTGGCATTGGGTTCGATTTTGAGAAAGCGTTTGATCGCATGCCTCATCATATTTTACTAAGGAAACTCTCATCCGCCGGCATCTCTGGTTCTCTTTTCGACTGGTTCAAATCCTATCTTACAGGAAGGACACAAAAAGTTGTAGTAGGTGAGGTCGCTTCTGTTTCTGTTAGTTCCGGAATTCCTCAAGGATCAATCCTTGGCCCATTACTTTACCTCATATTTATAAATGACTTACCACAATCGTTAGCTTCTCCGCTATTAACATCTGTTTTTGCTAACGACCTATTTCTACTCTGCGAGGTTCAATCTTGTATTGACGAGGTAATTTGCTGGTATGACACTAACTTCGTCGGTCTCAATATAAAAAAATGCGAGTGGATAATCTTTTCTACTTTACCTAATACCTATCCATCTATGTCACTTACTATTAACGATATAAAAATTGAACGCTCAACAACCATAAAATTACTTGGCATGAGGCTTGTTTATGATCTGACTTGGAAACGCCACTTAGAACATATTGCATCTAATTGTACAATGATGTTGGGATCTATTTCTCGTGTGTTTAGGAATGCTCCACCTTCATTACGTCTTCACTTGTATAAAACTTGTGTTCGCCCGGCTTTGAAGTATGGTTCTATCATTTATGACTCATCCTATTGCACTCACTTATCGGTATTAGACAAAGTACAGAATCTAGCATGTAGAATCATACTACGAGACTATGTATCCTCTTCTACTATCCTCCCACTATCCATCAAGTCAGTTAAATTTATCACCATTATCCTCGCGGAGAAAATTTTCACGTTTAGTTTATTTCTATAAACTTTACCATGGTTGCAATGCTCTTTCTATAGCAGTCTTACTAGTCGTCTGTCCACCCGTCAAACTGAGAGAAACTCACATAACAAACGGGTTTAGCGCAAGAACTTCACCTTAAAATCTGCTTCCTGTTCTTTTGCACCAAAAACTATAGAGGACTGGAACAAATTACCTTGTACTGTTGTTCATCAGAATACGCTAAGAGTATTTTCAGCTGTATTAAAACAACATCTTTTTACTGTCTAAATTTTTGCTATGTATGTGTGAGTGCGTGTGTGAGATTTTATTTTATCTGGTGTTACATGCAAACAAGCTCTAGCTTTCTTGTAATTTCCTTGTGTTCTTTACAAAAATAAATTCATTCATTCATTCAAATCATACGGAAAATAAAATCTTAAAATTTCTAATATCTCTTGTCCTTTAAACGCAGAAAAAATAGGAATAATCGTTGCTGCAACAGAATATCAAAGTTCTCTTAATCAGAGCAATTTTTTAAAGTAAATTACCCAATAATTCGTCTAGAATATGTATTCATTGCCAAATTTTCTACGTGATTTGTCTCACCAAAACGAGAAAATAAGAAAAAGCGTTTTGATCAGTTTTTTAGTACGACAAACAGAAGAAAACGCGTTTTTTTTTTCTCGTTTGGGTGAGATAAGTAACGTAGAAAATTTGGCAGTGGGATTGTACACTGTAAAACAAAAGAAGACGAAAAATATAAACCAATAATAACCACGATTTCTTTCTTCCATTTTTCAATTTGAAAATGGAAAAAAACAACTGAAAATGAGTTCAAAAGGAAAGCTGTTTATTTCATTTCTGATTTAGAACGTACTCATTTCTATTTTTGATTCTTTATTCATGGCAGTATGTACACATATTCCGTATAAAAATACGCATTAGTACGCATTCGACCTTTTTCAGAATAGTAGCTAAAAATGCTTTAATTGAAAATGAAGTTCATATTTGAGTAAATAGAGGTTAATAAAGACTCAGTTTACTTTCCAGATAAAAGATCACCGTCAATTAGTTTACATATAGTTTTCATATTTTGAACTTGTTGAAGAAGTAACTTTCTAAGAAATTTTATTGATGTTATTATTATCTATGCACGATGTATAAATTCAAGGACGCTCGTCTTTTGTGAGTATAAGAGGAAGAAGAAGAAGGAAAGGAACTCATGTCTGTTATTCTTTGTGTGATATCTTATTAGAATCGCATGGAGAGAAAAAAGTAGAATATAGAACAAAACAACAACAACAACAAAAAAAGTGTCTGAGTAAAAGATGAGAGCGATTATAAATCCAATGATATATTATTCTGTCAGGTATCAGACATTAATGGTGAATAGACGAACCAAATGATTTTTAGATATACAAATACGTTTGTATAATCGAGCGATAATTTGTACTAATTTTGTTTTCGTATAAAGGAACTATATTTAATTATTTATGAATGTAAATAAACATATAATAAAGTTATTCGCTACGTAAATAAGTACATAAGTAATATATAGTAAGAAGAATTTTGTATTCGATGATCGTATAAATCTTTAATCTTTTAATTCAAATTTAGTTTAATATAAAATGAGTTCCAACGATCCAAGTAGAACAGTATCAGACAATTCAACAAATGTGCCTGTATCCGATTATCATCGAAACGAGGGCAGACATTTACCATCAGATGAAAGTAAGAACATGTGTCTGAATAGTAGAAAACAAAAAATATATATATCGTGTTTTTTCAGATCGATTTCGATCATTATATGTTGGTGCACACATGCCATTCACTCCAAGTGAAAGAAAACGAAAAGGAAAAAAGAGACGAACTGTATTGGTAAAAGAATCAGATGGAATAAAAACAGAAGATGCACCAACCGGTCAGAGAATAAGTCATTTTTAGTTAAAAGATAACAATAATTTCATTTTATTGATTTCAGAACATCCAAGTCAACGTGTACAGTTTCTTTTGGGTGCACCAGAGGACGAGGATGATGAAGACGAAGAACACAAACCACATGATTTGTTCATTGAATTAGATGAACTGGTATCACCGTCAGCAGCCGAAGCTGCTTCTGATTCAGAAACTGTTGAACAAGGATGGAAAGAAACAGCACGGTAAATACTTTTGTAGTTATATTTTAGATTTTACTCATAAAGTGCATTTTTTAGATGGGTAAAATTTGAAGAAGACGTTGAAAGTGGTGGACGATGGAGTAAACCACATGTAGCAACATTATCATTACATTCATTATTAGAACTTCGAAAATGTATTTTGACTGGAAGCGTCATATTAGATATGCACGCAGAAAATCTTCCAATTATAGTCGGTCTGTGATTTTTGAGATATCAATCCAATGTATAAACCGATGAAACTACGTGTATCTTTATAGATATGATTTTGGACGACTTAATCGCTGGTGGTTCTCTACAACAAGATAAACGACAAGCGCTACGAAATGCATTGTTATTAAAACATATTCATCAACATGAAAAAACATTTCATAAACATTTACATCGTGAAGAAGTCAAAAAATCATTGCCGTTTACACGTTCATTAGCCGAATTTTCACGTAATCGATCTCATCATGATGTAACAAAATTAAGTAGTCATGATCAAATGGCACCAACTCATCCATTACCGTCATCGCCTCAGTTACCAACAACTCCTCCAGCTACAGGATTACAAGGTAAGATCAAAAATAGTTTATCCAAGTATAATTTGAAAACACTTATTGATCTCTTTCGCAATCCAATAGATACATCAGCCGAGAAGTTTTTATCAGGTAACTAAAATAGTACAATTGTGTTTATATGTGAAGTGTTGTTGTAATTACACTAACCAATCCTAAATCATATTCTACTTTTCATTTGTATTTGTTGATAAAATGTCCGATGTGAATTTTATATTACATCGAAAATCATGCACTCAAGGTTTCAACTATTAGGATTTGTACCATGACGTTGTAATTCAGCATAACGCCAATACCGTATATTATTGTTTTTTCATAAATTTTTGAAAAATACTGTCTGACATTAATCAGAACAATCACACATCAAGTTTATTTCTAGGAAGAATTTAGAAATAATATTGATGTCATCTATAAACGTTTCTCTCCTTCCTATATAATACCTTTTAATCTAATTTTTATACATCGCCTTGCTTACTAAGTTGCACCTTACCATTAGATGTCTTTTTATTTTATTTGAAATTCGTAACTGTTTTCCTTTTAAACCTCTGTGGATAAACTACATACGATATATTTTTTCTTTTCAAGGAACTTTTTTTGATATTATTAACAGTATGCGCACTGGAAACGCTAACTCAGATAGCGATATAAAAAAGGGGCAAGATCACTCAGAGCTTGTGTTAGAATGAGATGTTATGTAACGATATTTGATAAAGTGAAATTCATTTTTTGGACGTAATTTTGATATATAACCAATCAGTTAATTCTTCCTAGTGACATCCGAACGACCACGGCAGTCTGAAAGTGGTATAACAAATGAAGATTCAGCTACGGCTTTAACACCAGCTGAATCACGAGCCAAAGTGAGTGCTACAAATCAACTTTTTCAGCTGGAATAGTAGAATTTTGTCATTTAATTTCAGATCAATCAACATTTTATGAAAAAAATACCACCCGGAAGTGAAGCTACCAATGTTCTTGTTGGCGCTGTGGATTTTTTAACAACACCAGTCAATGCATTTGTTCGTTTAGCCAAAGGTGTTAATTTGGGTATGTATCCTCTTCCTTTCTTTTTTTGGTAGATAAACATTATTATCAACTGTTTATTTTTTTCAAGGCGATTTAACCGAAGTGCCTCTTCCAACACGATTTCTCTTTATATTAATGGGACCTCAAAATGAATTGGCACGCTATCATGAAATTGGGCGATCAATATCAACGTTGATGTCAGATGAAGTCAGTTGATAGGGTTGGTCACTCATTCCAATAATAATTCTCGCTTTTTCTTTATTTAGATCTTTCACGATGTTGCATATCGAGCTCATGATCGAAATGATTTACTGGCAGGTGAATAAGGTGACGTAGATCATCATTCTGCGTATACCTAAACAATAATTCGTTTCATCTATATTTCTATTTTTTTTCTCTTCTAAAATTAAGGAAAATAAGAGCTCTATTCCACATATAAATAATAAATGAGATGGCTTCATTTTGTGAAGAAAACTTCAGATATTCTTCAGAAGTTGTAAGTTTATAATCAAAACTTTTCCCATAATTTACAATAGTTTGCGAATTTTATCTTAAATTACTCCTTTCACTCACTTCAGTAGATTCATCGATGAATGAGACTTTTTTTATCATCCTCTTTCACATGGAAGATATTCTATTCTGGTTTATTAGAATTATTGACTTATCTAATTATAAATAAACGTTTCTTCAGAAAGATAGATGGACAAAACTTGAAGGCTTAATTTATGTCGCACAATTTTATTTGACCAAATGTCTAAAATATTCCAATTAGAATTGATAATGAAACTTGTTTTAACATATAGGTATTGATGATTTTCTTGATCATGTAATTGTGTTACCTCCAGGTGAATGGGATCCAAACATTCGAATTGAACCACCAAAAAGTGTAACGAAAAGAGTAGGTATTCAATCAACTGTTTTCAGTCATCTTTCATAAAAATATTTAATTTTTCAAGGAAGAACGCCTAGATCGTACGAAAATAAATGGTGTCACACAAATGATAGAAGAAGAACATCCTGAACATGAAAACAATCCTACTTTATTTAGAACGGGAAGGTACATATAACATTTTAATATCAATTAATTCCTAATGATTAATTGTTGATTGCTATAGATTTTGTGGTGGTCTTATTCAAGATATAAAACGAAAAGCTCCGTTTTATTGGTCCGATATAAAGGATGCTTTTTCATTTCAATGTATTGCAACAATCATATTTCTCTATTTCGCTTGCCTTAGTCCAATAATTACATTTGGTGGTCTGCTTAGTAAAGTTACCGATAATAATATGGTAATTAAAAATAGATAATCTCTCCATTATTAATTATCATTTCTTTGCTCTGTTATTCAGGCAGCTATTGAAAGTTTATTATCCGGTGCTGTATGTGGCTGTCTATATCATTTATTTGCTGGTCAACCGTTAACTATTCTCGGAAGTACTGGTCCAGTACTTGTATTTGAAACAATTGTCAATCAGTTTTGCAAGTAATATTTGGCTCTATTTTGCTGATAAATATTTTTTCAGAAAAACGTTAGTAATAAGTTAAAATCTTGTTGTAATTCTAGAACTCATCATTTTGATTACATGGGTTTTCGTGTATGGATTGGATTATGGACCGCCGCGATTCTCTTAATTATGGTTATGACGGATGCAAGTTATCTAGTTAAATATATCACACGATTTACGGGTAATAATATTTAAAGAACAAAGAAAAATAGTTCTCAATATTGCGTTGTCATTGGCCTTTTTTAGAAGAAAGTTTTGCTGCTTTAATTGGTATTATATTTATTTATGAATCATTCGATAAAATAATTGACATCAGTACTCAAAGTCCATTTCGTCGTAAAACCGAACGTTTATTGCCAGATAATTGTAGTTGTATCGGAGGTATAGCTGAGAATAGGACAGCTAAATATGGATTATCACTTGATGTAAGAGTTAATTTTGAAGTAATATTTATATAAAATAACGTTTTCTTTTTTCTAAGGAATGTACGAGACAAGGTTTAACATTGTTATCTGGTGATACATGTCCAGTAACAAATGCAGTTCCCGATGTATTTCTGTTTTCAATTATATTATTTTTATCAACATTTGTCATGTCCTATACGTTTAAAAATTTTAAATTTACAAGATTTTTACCAATGACAGTATGTAATCAAGAGAATATTGACGGTTCAAAGTGTCCGATTATGGAAACTTATGTATTTCGATATGATGGCATAGCATTGATGACCAGTAAACTATGGTCAATTGTTTTTTCTCAACAGAACAGAAACAGAACAGAAACAGTTTGGTCTCTCAATAAAAATAATTTTCTATCTTTGTTTAGTCTTCGATACCGTATGAGAAAAACAGTTGCCAAGAAAGAATGTCTTGAGAACTCAAATTTCTTTTCACTTCATTTTATGCCGCATTGAATTGTTTATTAGATACCCTGAAAATAATTTTCAAATATCTTTTGATTCGCACTCTAGAGATTAGATATGGAAAGAAAAATATAGTTAGAAAAATTCTTATATGTTTTATCTTAAGACGTTCTTTCTAGGCAACTGTTTTTCTTACACAGTATCGAAGACTGAATGAAGATAGAAAATTATGTTTATCGAGTTGACCAAGCTGTTTCGAGAAAAAATTTGACTATAGTTCACTGTTCGTCATTGATATGCCATCATATCAAGATACATAAGTTTTCATAATTTGACACTTTTTATGTCTTTTAAATGTGTTTTATACTCTAGTGAAACTTCTGGCAACCAAGATTTCTTGAACTTTTTTTAGTAAGATCTTGGTAAGAAAATGTAAGAAATCCCAAGAACCAAAGATCTTGAATATCTTGAAATTTCTTGAGTTCTTGTGCAACGATCTTGATAATTCTTGAATCACAGTTATGTTTCAGACTCTTGCTTACATATAATTGCAAAAATTTTCCTTTTTTGTGAAAAGCTATTCAAGAATGAGTCTATGATCATATATGATCGCATATCTAATAGTTGGTTATTGCTGTCACATAAGACAAAAAAAATACAAAAGTTTTCATCATAATACTTTCACAGATCTTGGCTCGATTCACTCAAAATATTGAAAGTTCTGTTCCCAAGATGTTGGATGCAAGAAGTTCCACTAGGATATCATTTCTTCATGTCTATCTCCATGTTTATCTATCTCTTTATAGTTAAGATCAAAAATAAGTGATTTTGGCGTTGTATTAGCGATTGGTATCAATGTATTAATCGATTTTTTTATTGGTATTAGTACACCAAAATTAGACGTGCCACAAAAATTTGAAACGACCTTAAAAGGACGAGGTGAGTTCTGTACACTATAAAAATATGTGCTAAATTGTACTTTTTTTTGTGATGAATCGGGCATAAATTTTGGGCACAATACGCGACATTTGAAATGCATCGTCTATGTGAGGGCACATTGAATGTGCTTAGTACATATTTTAGTTTATTTCTGAAAAATAAGCTAAAATAAACTGCAAACAATATGAGCAAAAAACAGCTAATGCATATTAATACCTTTCTCATACTTGTTTTGTAATACTAGTTGAATACTCTTGTTGAATATAAACTTTATTTCTTTTACTCAGACTTATATTTCGAAATTTTATTTGTGTACGTTCTGTAGAAGGCACAATGCGGGACTCAACAAATGCGAGGCACTATTGAATGTGTTCTAATACTATTATACATCATTTGTTGATACGACGTATTTCAAAGCATATTCTGTGAACCATCTGACAAGACATTTACAGAGGTGCCCATGTACATGACACTTTTTCTTCCAATAAATTTAGATTTTAGAAATCATTAGTATTAGTTATGACTCTAATTATATTTTTTAAGGATGGTTTATAAGTCCATTCAATCGAAATCCTTGGTGGTTGTCGTTGGCGGCATTGCTTCCCGCACTGTTAGCAACGATTTTAATATTTATGGACCAACAGATTTCTGCTGTTATTGTCAATCGAAAAGAAAATAAATTAAAAGTACATAGAATTTATTATATCCCAGATACGAAAAGCGTTATACAAAACCTGCAAAAAGACGGTTCTATCCGATTCATGTATTAGAATCATTTATTATAACCCGATTCATTTAACTAGAGCCCTGAGGGGTCAAGCTTATGAGATGGGATCGGGATCGGGATTTAAGCTGTTGAGCGGGCTCAGGATATTTCTTTTTCTAATTTATTGGAACTACGTTTCATTATCACAAATGTGGAAAAAACATAATAATTTTTAGGGCTTAACGGGATCGTAATTAAGCCTACGGGACGGGATCGAGATAGGAATTGGAGAAAAGATTTTTTCGAGATCGGGACGAAAAAAACTCAATCTCGCAGGGCTTTAGTATGAACCGACTGGTTTTTTGATCATTTTTTAAAAAAATCTGGTTCTAACCGCAGTTATGAACAGTTTTTTTCTCTTCAAAACTGGCGATAACCGCGTTTTTTTTCCTGAAAATAAACATTAATAATAACAAAGACGTCTCATTTCAAGTCGTATATACGACTTGTAGTTTAAAATTAAATGCGATTTTTTCAAATTTAATTTAGAAAGGTTGTGGTTATCATTTGGATTTGTTAATTGTCGCTACATGTATTGCTGTTAATTCACTAATTGGTTTGCCGTGGTTCGTTGCCGCAACTGTATTGTCAATTAATCATGTAATTAGTTTAAAACTTGAATCAGAGACAGCGGCACCGGGAGAAAAACCACGATTTCTTGGTGTTCGAGAGCAACGTGTTACAGGTGAGTTTTAATTGATGTACAATAAAAATCTGCCATTTGATTCGATTTACATTCTATTTATTTTAGGATTTATTGTATTTTTATTAATTGGTCTATCGGTATTTTTAACAACTTTTCTTCGTTTTATTCCTATGCCTGTTTTATACGGCGTTTTTCTTTACATGGGTATATCGTCAATGAAAGAAATTCAATTAATATCAAGATTATTGTTAATTTTTATGCCAGAAAAATATCAACCAGACATGGTTTATTTAAGACACGTGCGAACAATACGTGTACATTTGTTTACTTTAATTCAATTGACATGTTTGATAATGTTATGGGTTATTAAATCAGTTAAAAAAATATCAATATTATTTCCGATTATGGTAAGTCATTACTCGTTTTTTAAGATTAATAAACAATTAAAATAGTTTTCGTCAATTATTTTCAGGTATTAGCATTGGTGGGTGCACGAAAAGCAATGGATTATTTATTTACCCAGCGTGAATTATCTTATTTGGACGATGTGATGCCGGAATCAACGAAAAAAGATGCAGAAGATCGAGAAATATGTGATTCAAATGGTAGCCAGGAAAATCAGGCATGTATACAATAATGATATTATCAATTGTTTTTATTATCGTTTTTTTATTCCAAATATAGAAAAAAAGTAGTAAAGATTTCACTGGTGAAATTCGTATTCCGGTTGGTGATGGCAAAGTTATTAAAGTCGATAAAGATAATGTTAAAGTAAGTACGAATACATGTTTATGTCTCAGTACGAGTAAAAATATCTACATCTAGTCCATATTATTATCGTTTATCGATAGATATGGAAAATTTTTTACGAACATGTTTATTTTATTAAAGAAAAAATAAATAAAAAATGATATTTTTCATTTTTTTTTCATTAGATTGATCCATCTACTGGTGTCATAAATATTTCTGATGAAGTTGCAAAAACGTTTTTATGGAAATCAATAGCAAACGAAAAAAAAGATAATACTAGTAATAAACCGACAACATCATCTGAATCTACGAAAACACATGGATCAGGTATCAAGAAAAGGTAAATGAAATAACAACTTAGACATACGTTAAAGTTATTGTATGTTGTTTGTGTATTATACTAATACTAAAAACACATCCTTATTTAGTTTACACTTTACCACTTTACCCCAATTCAGATTGTATGTCGAACATCATTACATACCAGAATGATATTATATTACCTAATGCATGTAAAATACATGTTTAAATCTTTCTTATAATTATTCAGTCATACATATATAGTTGATTATAATCATTATGTTTCATTTTACTTAAATTTATATTTCAAAAATTTTATTTTTTCTAGAATTAGAAAATTGAGTCTTAATTTTATTGGTGAAGATCATGAAGAACGACCATTAATGAAAGATGTTCCAGATAATCAAACATCTGGTTCAAAAACTAAACAGCATCAATCAACACCCTTACCATCAATTATTATCGATAAACCAGATACTATTGTCGAAAGAACTAAAAGTATTAGTAGTCAAGATAATGACACACGTCTATGATTTTTTTTCCATTTTTTTTCTTCTTCTTCTAATCCTTATATTATAATATTCCATGTCGAGTTACATATTGATCTATAACAATCGAGCTTCTGAAATTTGATTCTTAATCATATCAGACATAACACATCTTGTTTTTCAACTTCCATAGATTATTTGTATATGTATGTGTGTGTGTGCGCGTGTGTGTGTGTGAGTGTGTGTGTTAATCCTTTGTTTTTAATGCATAACAATAACAATATATAACAATATGAACCTCGTGTATCATAGATCTATGCAAACATATTTATTCCATTATTTTTTTTTTTTTAGTTTAGATCTATTCAGTTCTAGATGATCATAAAATAAGAAGAAGATTTAAAATTTTATTTTATTTTATAGAGTTTGCTTAGATTTTTTTGTTTACAATAATTCATACACTAATATGACAGTATTTTTTTATTTCTATAATTTATTTTACATGTCCAATAACAGACACCTATTTTACAATTTATCTTCTGTTTTATTTTCTAACTAACTTCTGTTTTAATTTTAATTCTTATTTAGTTGTTGTATTTTCTCCTTTGATGTTACTAAATATTTTTTTGTATTTTTTACTTTTTGCCTTTTGTTGTATTTTTTTTTTCTTCTCTCGTTTTTTTAAATTCAATATAAATGAACGATGATGTCTAACGATTTTTGGCAAAAATGTATATTGTCAAATTACAAGCGATACAATATAAAAACATTTTGTTAGAAATTACACAATAACATTACAAAACAAAAACAATAAATAATTACTGTATACAGAAAAATATATTAAAAAAAACATATCAAGACTTGTTTAATTAGGAGAAGACAATACAATAAATAAAAAACAAAATTGTTTATTCATTTATTTTATTTTTCAAGATTCTGTCCATAAATGAAATAATTTTTTATGACCTTCTTCATCAAATATTGGATGAAATTCAATTTTTGTTATTTCTTCAATACCTTCACTTCGTTCTGGTTCTTTATAATTTTTTTTATACATATTATATCCGACATCTGGTATGCGTCTTACTTCACTTGCTGTTAACTGTTGACGATAATAATTTAAATGATGACATAATTCCAATGGTGTATTAAGAATAAAACATCGACAAGGTATTTTTTTTGATTTAGCAAGAGAAATGTATTCGGCACGAGTATCCGCTGATGGATTTGTATTATCAACAACAATACTCTTTCCTTCATTTAAAGCATTTGTGGCTGTCTAAAATAATAATTATTTTAATATCAATCAATGATATAACAGAATTTTATGATCATACTTTTATACATTTTGCTGCTGTACCAAGTGTATCACGATTGATGAGTACATAGCCATATGGTTCAAAATAGCGTCGAGCAAAAGTACTTTTTCCTACAAGAAAATAAAATTAAATAAAATGATTTATTTTGTTGTTATTTTTAATTTTTAATTTTAATTTGATTACCTGATGCAGGAGGACCTTGTAAGATGACAAGTTCTTGAGTCTAAATAATAATTAATATTAGAGACTAATATAATTGACTAATTTTAAACAATTAAAATCACTTACCGTTTTATGATAGGTTGTCGATGGTTTAGTTGCAGTTGCAAATTTTTCGACAAATTCTTTTGGATTTACTGAGCCCCATTCAAACTTTGATACTGGTGCTTCATCAAGAAAAAATTCTTCTGGTGTTTTGAATGCTAGAATGCAAATAATATATAATGTTTTTATAACTCATACACATTGTGAATAATGTCAACATACATAAATTAATATTATGTGCAAATTTTCTATCAGCACAAGAAAAATCTTTCTTTTTTCCCGCTTGCCATCCTGCTAATCGTCCGGCAGCATCACCACAATAGACACTTTGGCTAGAATCCACCTAAAACATATAAATAAATAAAATAAATTCTTATTCACTTTAAAGACTGTCATTGGCCTACTTTGACATTTTGATTACAATTTTCTATAAAAAAGTCGTACATTGCCGACGCCGGTTTTCGAAAATGATTTTCACCAGTGGCAATAAATACCTAAAATATTATTAAATATCAGAATTAGAAATATTTGATCAATGCTTTACATACAAATATTGGTGCATTTGTTTCACGAATAAGTGTTTCACATTTTCGTTTAATATCTTCTAATTTTGTATTGTGTTTTTCAATACCGCCTTGATTTGTAAAAATACATAGACGATAACCATTTTTATGGTATTCTTCTAATTTTTGTGGAACAGTTTTATGCCACCATACCCAATCATCAGCTCCTATATAGACCAAATAAAGAAAGTGTTCATATTTTAGGTAGAAAGAATTACAGAAAAAAAATATTTTACACTTGTTTTTATTTTTGCATGTATCTTTACCTTTTGGAAATTTTGCTCCACTTTTAACATTAATCAATGTTGAATCCTATATTAAAGAGAAATTAATTCATTTTAGTATTCTGACTCTTTTTGTTTAAAAATAAAATATATATACCATGTCGAATGCAGCAACTTTCGTACAACCAGGTAGTGAATCCGAATATAGATATACAAGTGGAACAAAACCTTTTGATAATGCTTCACCATGTTCATGCCATTTTAAACCAAACAAATCCGTTTCACCTTTTGCACGCTTGATTTCAACTTCAGCTTGAGTGGCTGCTTTTCTTTTTGTTCTTGACATGGTCTTTATCTTTAATATAGAGAAATTATAACAATATTTTGACTAGATTATATAACAGATTTATAGTCAGAAATAAATACCTTGAATCTATAGTGGTATGTTGACGTTCAGATGATATAAAGCTCTTTATTTTTCAAAAATTAATGATAGAAAAAAGTTCTTGTTCTTCCTATAAATATATTTGAATTGCATACCGATTGTGCAATATTTGTATGCATTTTTCTCTAAGGTAGATTGCATACAGAAAATATTTGATTAAGGAAAAGGAAAAGAACAGAAAGGAAAATTTTTCTTCACGCTTCTTTTACTGTGAAATTTAAGGGAGAAATGGTTGCAAAACTTTTAAAAATAATTTTCAGTAATAGAGAAAAATACACCACAATTAGATTCTATACTGCAATATTTCTCAAGTGTCTCTTATAGAATGCTCTGTGTTATTCATAACACTTAATTTTACGTACATTTTATGTACTGTAGTAATGAGCACGTGAACGTAGAATTTCAGGTGATTTATTGGAGCTAATCCTTCACAATATGAGGAATACCCGGATAGTGATAACAAGTTAAGAATAGTTGATTACCGCCTCACAGTGTGCATCCAGGCCGGCTTTTGATGAAAAAAATGAAAGTTGATTTTTCAGTAATTTTAAAGGTGATTAATATACTTTGAAACATGCTCTATTTAATGGCAAAAATTTTTATGTCCTAGAACTTATTTAAGCTGGGAAAATCCTATACACAAAAACACACTAAAAAACCCGTGTCCATCGGAAAATCGGATTATACGCAAAAATTTTAAAAAATCAAACATAGCTATTGGGCAGACAAACATATATTCGGAATCAGCATCAAGTGCGCTATCGATTGGTAAAAAACTTTTCTATTTGTGGGCTTTCTAAGTTGGAGAAAAAAAATAAAACATTTTTCTAGCGCATTTTCCCAGGAGGTGTGTTTGATGCAATGCGTGCGCGAACTTTAGCGAAGCTCCAATTTTGATGAAATTTTCAGGGAATGCTGTCTTACATATGATATGTCAACACAGTTAGCGTCGACGCTTCTGGACCGAATGGTAGGTTTTCTAAAAAGAAACGTCCTAAAAGCCTTGATTTTCACGCTCGATCGACCGCCTGCTATGCAAAAAATACACACTGTACGCCTATTGGTCTCACAAGTTTTTGGTATATGCCATTTTAATTAACATCCACTCAATATGGGTGCCCTGCTCAATAAAATGTCCGTTATGAATAACAAAGATTTTGCCACATTTTTCAATCGTACTCAAACGATGGATCGAGATAATGATTGTTCTTCTTCTTTCTTATTCTCAAACAAAGAAACTTGAATTAAACGTTCATTCACCGGATCTAGCAGTAGAGATCGGCTGGACCAAACTTTTTTGGTCCCGATCCCGTGATCCCGTAAATATTTTTTCAAAGTAGCGCTGATAGTTTGAAAGTCAGCACGTTGTAATGTGACGCGAGGAACAGTATGCGTGGGTGGTATTAGCTTTTAGAATTTTGTGAGTTCTTTCTTGTAGAACTAGTGCTTACATAGAAACAAGCACAGAAACTAAGAGATTTTTATGCTCTATAGAAGACTATTTTCAAAAAAACCTGGTCCCGGTCCCATTAAAAGTCCTGTGGGACCGAGACCATCACACCTACTGAGACTTCCTTTTCATCCTTTTTCTCTTTTTCGGACTTTTTTACTTTTCATCCCTTTCTGCTGTTTCTGTTTCTATGACTCGAACGCCACGGCACTTAAAGCGGGATGGAAGGAAGGGACTTACATGAGAGTGAGGCACTTGATAATGTTTTTCCAGTCAAGAAGTGCATAACTGCGGAGATCTATTGATGTATATAGGATCTAGCGCACTAGCTAGATCCTATATACATCAATAGCGCAATAAGAAGTAGAGAAGAGCTTAAATAGATGAAACAGTGATAAACCTGTCATAGTAAGGCTCCTCTTTGGAAGGTAATTACTCATTGATAATAAATCGATGCTGCCGCCTCTCTTCAGAGAAAACTACTTTATACATTTTTATCATATTCTAACACCCCTCGGGTATAACAATGATGTCGCCTCATCTAACAGAAGAATAGTGGGCTTTCTAATAATTACACGAGATATGCATACTCTTTGTTTCTGACCACTACTTAAATGTCCACCTCTCTGACCACATTGTGTTTCATAACCATCAACGAGTTCAGTTACAAATGTATGAGCATTCCCAAACTTAGCAGCATGGATTATTTCTGTAGAAGAGGTACAACAAGAAACTTCTCTAAGATTTCATGAGATTTTCGCCAAGTTTATTTTATTCTTTTAACTATTTTAGACAGTCTATCCTTTTGTTCTACTAAATGTTTGTAGAACTTACTTTTAATTTTGGAAAATATATGAATGTACGACATTTATTTAACGAAAACTATATTCAAAAATTAAAAGAAGAACAAATATTCAATATCAAGAAGTTCTTTGATTAACAATATAATCATTATTCTCGTTACTGTTTATTGATGTACCCGGTATAGACGATTTAATATCAATATCCGTTATGCGAAGTAACGTAAATGGCATACGTTGCACTAAAAGTTAAAAAACACGCTTATTTTAATAGTAAAGATTAGACAAAAGAATGTCTTACAATTTTTCTTTGTCCCGACACCTTTCTTTTTCGGTGCATAATAATAATATATGATCACTGGACTCAATGTTTTCTCAATAACAACTGCTTCGACATGAATAAAATGAGGACTAAAATGAACAATTTTACTAGTCGTGATAGAGCAAGAAACAGTTAAATTTACCTAAGAAGTGGTCGACCGATAACTGTAAATTCCGGACTACCCACTAATAATACCTAGATGAAAAAGCATTTATGAGATTTTTAACATTATCAATTCCATCAATATTTACTTTTTCAAAACGTATACGATCGCCAATTGTTGGGTGAAATGTTCCATGAATAGGCACAATATCTTCCGTTGTTACTTTTCGTTGTGTACCATTCATGAATATAATAGCAAATAAACGATTACGATATTTATCTTCAGCTAATGTATTTACAGTTTTATATAATTCTTTTGTTTCTAAACGATTACATTCTTCATTTATATTTTTAGTATGTAGTGGTTGAAGATCATGAGCTTTCAAGACATGAATTTCATCATCGGCGACTGATCGTTGTTGTTCAGCATTAATGAGATTCCTATAATACAAAATACACTTAATAACTACAAATGTTAAAGAGCAAACTGCAGTCGTTATAAAATTATATTTAGCAAAGATTCTTTCTCCTGTCGATGTTATTATAGAATAGAAAATTAAAATTTTCATGTTACTAACGGCATTGTTCGCATAAAAGCACGATTTAAAAATGAAGAATTGTTTATCCATTTGACTGCACATAAGCATGTTGACCATTTAAACACTAAATTGTTCATACTCTAAATCTGAAATAAACATGCGTATATTTAAAATAATCAATTTTAATTTTAAAAAAATTCTGTATTAGTCTCCATGATAGATTACTATTTGAGATGTTAATCAATGATCAAATTATTGCTAAACAACAGATGTAAATCTCTTTAAACAGAGCCACCTGAATTATCAGACTTGACAAATGAGTTTTTCCTTATTGTATACGATGATTTTTTTATTATACTCTTATAATACAATAAAAGCTATAACACCAGTCACAGCTCTTTGTTCATGTTTTCTTTTTAAAACTTAATAAATAAAATAGAAAAAATTCCACGACTATACAAAAAAAACTATGTACATTCAATTTACAATGTTGAGTTTCTTTTTCCTGTTATCTGTCTAACTATTATTTTCTAGAATCATCAGGAAAAAAAGAAAAAAAGTAATAACATTTGCATACAAAAGTTTATTGCAATCAAATAAACAAGAAAAAAAAATGAATCAACAATCAAAGCGAAGTGTTGCAACGTTAATTAAAAATAACAGTAAAGATCAGATATCACTTTGTTAAGAATCAATTTATTTGATAAAAGAACAAATAAATAAATAAAACAATTTGAAACACAAGTTGGAAGAAGCAAAGAGCACCATTTCAATTAAATCAAGTACCATCTTCACCAACTTCTAAAAATTGTCTCGATTGATCTTGAATACATTCACCTTTCGGAGTAATTAAAAATCGACTGTAACTACCATCAGAACATAATGCTGTAAAAAAAAGAAATTAAAATGATATAAATACAATGCAAATACTGAATGGTAAAATATTTATTTCAAGAAGAATGGGAAATTTTTTTCTCATTCCCTCAGTACAGTTTTATAGCATTATTTATAAGGCTGAAATTTGAGGAATGAAAATCAAATCACTTACTGATAACTGTTTTATTGGCATCCGAATTGGGGCCAAAAGCGCAAATACCAAGTGTATTCGATGGCAAAGGAAATTTACATGAACTCCATTTAGAACTAAAATATTTTGGTAAAAAAGTGGCAGCACTCGTCAAACTAAAATAGAGATGTAAAATGATAGATTTATGCAATATTCTTCTTCTATTTATTTTGTGAGAAATTATTGTTCTAGACCTGAAAAAATATCAGATTTTATATTATCTTTCTACCTGCCGAACATTGAAAAAATTATTTTCCACGTATAACTATGATGTTTCAGTCACATTCAGCTCCATTCGAAAGCTATTCTGACAAGAATTATTTGTTCAGACGTACGAACCTTGAATGTCGCGACGTATTTCGATAAGGTTCTTCAATATAAAATATGTGCACTGTTGAATGATCACTTGATACGCATAATAATGTTGAATCTTGGTTAAAATTAATGCTAGAATTAAAATAAAAAACTCAAAGTCTTACGAAGTTTAAAAGACAACAGTGAAGTAAGATAATCAGTGTTGTATATCCTATTTGATGTATAATCACACCTTAGTAGCATTCTGGTAGTTGCTACTCACCAGTGAATAGTAGCGTTGTTAGCTCCGCGTCGCAGTTCGTTTACTAGTTGACTTGTTTCGGTATCAAATATTCGTATTAGAGTACCCTTCAAAAAGAAAATAGAACACATTCTCCAGTTTCCTTAGTTTCGTCCCATAGCGCTTGGCTGAGAATAAAACAAGACTTACCTTTTCTGATGCTGTAGCTAAACGAGTACCAGACATATTCATTGCTAAATCTAAAAGAGAAAACGATGCGATTATTTTCATCAAATAAAAATGCCACTATATTCGAAACAAATACAAAGACTCATAATGGACGACGGATAGCAACATACATATCAATGATGCTTCATGTGCATTTATTTCGACCACTGGCTTTTCTGTATTGGCCAAATCGACAAGACAAACGCGCCCTATATGATGACTCGGATATGCCAAATAGGATTTTGAACCAGATGGACAAACTACACACAAACCTAAACAATAAAGGCGTTCAAAATATTTCTCTATAACCTAAGTATGTATATACCATGAGTATTGGTACAAGTTTCAAAAACGTGCAACTGTTGGGGATTTTGTGTAAACGTATAAACTTTAATCATTGTTTCCAGTACAACAATAATTCTAAAAACAAACGAAAACCAATAAAACTAAACATTTTCTTTGTTTCAGTCATTCTTACCTGTCACGACGTAATCGAACCGCTTTCACTTCAGTAGAAAATTCAAGCTCAATAACAATTTTCTTCCTTAGATCGTCCCAAATCATTACTAAATGCAAACTGTTAATAAAGGAATATACTTTAGAGTATGATTTACACAACTCAGAGATCAAAATGTAGATTTGAATGATCATTATAAATGAATATTCAAGCTGATTTATTAATATATCATCATCGTTGTGTATATAAGCAAAATCGAGGCACATTAGTTTACCTTTTGATGGAGAATACTTAGGCGTTCTGCCACCACCAACAAGAGCCACCTACAGGAAAGAAAGTATGCTGAAAGTTTGTACGAGGAGAAACTAGATAAATTTCGTACTCACGTATTTGCAACGAAATAGCATCTCAACTTGACCAATCCCGCCATCCAGAAAATCTTGCCGTTGAATTTGACGTAGTGGATCACTGTCGTATATTCGAAAACCGTTCTCTAAGCCGCATGCAAAACAGCCTGAAAACATAAATTTGATTACTGTTCGCGTCAACAGCTGTTCTGACTTCCAGTGACATACCTGAATCTTGATTAAAACCAAAGTAGAGTAAACCATTCTTTCCGGTTTTTGTACTATGAAGACTCATGTCTTACAATCAAATTCTGAGTAACTTAATACAATGTGGATAAAAAGACATGTTTCGATTTAGAAGAACAGTAACAACATATCTAGTATTACTTTTCCTTTCATTTTATATCATTTCATTTCATTTTGTGACTGAATGAATAAATGAAAGATGAATGAAACAAACAAATTCAACGGACGTGGTATTCTTCGGAAGAGAACAACAACGCCAAACGAAAAGTATGCTAGAGGTCGCCGCATTACAGAGTATTTTTTCTGAAAAAGGATTATAGATTGCACTTTGTTGGCCAAAAAGGTGGGTAATCAAAAACATTTTTGTATTTTCATTCAAATACACAGGGTATTATTGGGCACATGATGATGTTACACGTAAACACGTTGGTGCTATGTTTTTAATGCAATTGCATCGATACTTCCACTGTATAGTGATTATTAACTCTTATGCCTACGTCTACGATATTCTATATTGTATATGCTACTCAGTGCACCAAAGAAATTTACCTGCTAAATTTTACTTGGAAACTTCTGATGTAGCGCTGATTCATATTTTATTTTGAATGGATAATTATTGATTACAATTCTTTTGCAATGTATGTAAGGCAAAGAAAAACTGCCGAAAAAAACCGTCTAAGGCCCTAGCAACGGCACCCTTTGGCCGTTAGATCATTTGGTTATCTTGACAAAATTCGAGTTTTATGAGCCATGTGTTATTATCAACTAAACACTTTGACACGCTTTAAACTCCAGCAATTTTCAATGACTGGTCTCCCGTAAACAGTGTTTTCGATAGTAGTTTTGGTGGAGGAGGGTGGCGAGTCTGCTGAGTAATTGAAGTTTTTTATTGAGTAATGCATTTTTTTACTAAAATTTTTTCTGAGTGTTACTCAGAAAAAAATATTAGTTACCCAGTTACTCAGGTACATAAAAGTCAGCTCAACTTAAATTTCTTAAAAAATTTCTGAGTAAGTCAACATTTTTTGAGTAACTGTATCCAGACGAAGGGGTGGTTTGCAACCTCTCCCATCCTCTAATCGATGACGCTGCCCGTAAATGTAACTATAAATGGATTTAGTAACGTAAAAGTGAGAGAGATCACCAAAGGCCTCTGACCTGTCACACGATCGTCTTCGCCAAACAAATAAACATAAAAAATAAGATGCTTACTGAAAAAAGAAGACGCTCCTTAAGTTGCTTTGCAAATATAATGAATTCTTTTGCGTCGTTTGAAAAGGGTAATGAATGAATTATGTAAATAAATCTTGTAAAAAAAAGTGCTATGCTGAAGTGATTTTTTAATGTGAAATGCTTTACTTCAGCTCACTTTTCTCTTGTACTTGTGTAGGTCGTGTTAAGACTGAAGGAGTAAGTATTTATACTCTGTCAATAAAAATACAGTCCATATTCTGGCTTGTGCGCATACTCAAGTCTCTCGCACTCTGTTGTATATGAATAACATGATATTTTTATTTGTAATAAAATTTTCATTTTAGATGTCTACTCACCGTACAGACGATAGCGAGGAAGAATTCGAAAGTGCCGATGAAGGCGACAACAATGACTGGGTGGATTCAAAACATAGTGAAAACGGGAAGAAAATTAATGTTAACATCGACAATACAGTCAATGAGAACAAAACAACTATTGGCCAAATTACTAATGATCTGAGATCTCTTGAAATTCATACTGACAATACAAAACAAGAACCTCTAACAGATATTGAAGAAAAAGATATAGTATCAAGTGGCATGGAAGACTGGTCCATTTGGCCAACATCCGATACAATACCTGAAGTAAATAAACAAACTGATGATCATCTAGTCCACGCGTCAGTAGAAAGCATCAAGACTCATCTTCAGCATCAAGACTCATCTTCTTCGACATCTTTATCCTCAACAGCAGATAAAAAACAGTCATCAGCACATTCAGATAACGACAGTTCATCATTTGAAGAAAAAAATGATAATCGATATTCTCAACAGCGAAAGAAATATCGGAAAAATAGGTGTGATTCAAACAATGACGATGGTGAATCAAAGAAAGTTATAACACGTCCTTCTCGTGAAACAACGACAAACGAGGAGAAGACCACTATAAACGTTGAAAAACAACAGCAACAACATAATGCTCAAGAAGCTCGCCGTCTTTTCGATAACTTGTCAGAACAATCACCAACAAGCACGGTAAGTAACTTTTTATTATCATTTTGGTGCAGAAGTTCGTGATTGTGTATTTTTCTTAGCCAAACTGGGGACATTCATGGTCAAACATTGGATCGTTCCTTTCAAACGCAAAATCAACAGTAAGCACATTGAAAAGTACTGTTAGTAAGTAAACAAAGGAAACATCCATGGACTTTGTTTGATGACATTGCCCTGTTTTCGTAGGTGAAGGTTTTACTGCTGTCATTGAGTCTGTTGAAAGTAGCTTGGGGGCGCCTGATCCACAACAGTTGGCAGAAATGAACCGAATGGCGTTCAAAATTAAAGGCGAAGCATCCGATAGTGAAACAGAAGGTACGTTTCTCAATTCGGGTTCCACATTACTTTATATGGACTTTGTACCTTTAGAATCAGATGCACAACAACAACAACAACAACAACAACAACAGCAACAGCAGAATGATCTAATCGTAAATCAAGGTGGTTGGCTAAGTTCTTTAAGCATCGACAAAATCACAACAACTGTGCGTGTTATAAAGATCATACTGATACATTTTACATTGTTTTTTGTGTTACAGGGTATGCAGATTGTTTCGGGAAGTTTAGATGTGCTGGAAACTGTTGGAAAGAAAACATTTGAAGTAATCAATGAAGCTGATCCAGAATTAAAAGGGACAAGACGTTTGTTAGCGGGAAGACAAGATTCCGTAACACTATCTGAAGTAAGATTCAAAGAGATAGTTATTTGTCTTTTAAAGTAACGAACTGGTTTCTTTTCTTGTACTAGATAATTCGTGAAGCACAGCAACATGATACTAGTGATAATTCGTCAAAATCTAAGAATGATAGTGTAACGTTTATTCATCTATTTGAAAAAAATCAAGGTGAGACTATCTAGATTTTTTTCTAATATCAGTATTAGTCTAATAGAAACGAGATGTTTCGATCGAAATCGTAGTCAACATTTATTTCTGATCATTTTTTTCAAGGTTTGGCACATTTGGAAGCCTTAGAAATATTATCATCTCAAGCAGCAAGTAAAATAGAAACACTTGATTATCGTAATAGAGAATTGCTAGAAAAAATAGCCGTCTTCTTCGATATGGAAAACGATAAAATCGACGATAACTCTAACGGTGATACAATGAACACTATTGAGAATCAAATTCCCACTATAGATGATTTATCAGTCAAATTTACAACATATCAAACACAGCTACGTTCAACAGTATCCGTAGATAAAGTGCTGGAAGTTTATCAGTCAGCAAATGAATTTATAAGCGAATGGGATTGGATGGATACGACGCTGGATCAGAAAGTAAGCAGTAAAGCCTTTTTTTATATGTGCGATTTTTTAGGAAAATCTACTTGCTGCAAAGCAAAGTTTATTCTCATGCTAGACGATTATTAGTTTAACTCGTGTACAATCCATGTTATTTATATACTTTACTGTGAATTAAAAATGTAAAATAAAGTGCACATGTCTTTTTTATTATTAGACATTACACGACGAAGCAATAGATTGTTTAGCAATATTATGTTCTCGTATCGTTGAATATTATCGTAAATCGGCTGAATTATTTTTAATAGGTTGTAAAAGTTTAACATCATTTTCTGTTGATATTGAACTATTAAAACTGTATCAGAAACAACAATCTGACTTTGCAAATATGTTATCAGGAATTCCCACATTATTTGCTAAACATATGAAACGTCTTCAAAATATACCATCAAATTCAACAAAAAATAGTGAAGCACCAGTACGCTGTGATGTCCAATACAAACATCAACTAATCACAGATTTATTTATACAATCCGCAAGTTCAGTGACTTATGCACAGGATTCATATTGTCTATTGAAACCAGTTGTTCAACAATCGATTATTTATCATATGAGTACAACGACAATATTAACTGGCCGTTAGCTTCTACCACATACCCATTTATCTTTATGATTGTTTTTCACATCAAGCATTCTATGCTTTTTTTGCATGCATAAAGGGAAATGAGTAATTGTCTGCATGTTGTTTCATTAAGAGTTCTTAATCTTTTGTTTTGTTATTTATTTTTTTTTCGGGTTGGAGATAAAAAGGAATATGATGTTTTTATCTTTTCTCTGTTGCTGTATTATTGAATATGTTCTCATGTATAGTTAAATTATAAATATATATTTGAGATGCCTCAATTTTTAATGGTTGGTTTCTTCTTAACACATCTTTCTGTGTTTAGCAATCTTCCTGAGACGGTAACGCTATCGTTGCTTCCTATTAAAAATTACAAGACAATTAACGTTGGCTATTATCTTCTTCATAAAGATGATCATGAAAACATAATTTATTGATTGACACATCATACAGCAAAGAGCAAAAGAATTAATCCTAACTTTCAAACTATCTCGTTTTCTCTTGACATTTATTTTCTGTTTTCCACAAAATTTTATGGTAGAAATCATATCTCCGAATGTACCTAGAAATTAATCTATTAGTAGAAGACAATATCGCTGTGGAAGACGAAAGAAAAATACTCTGTCTTGTGGTTACTGATGTGGGATGTTGATAAGCATCAGTTTTAATAACCCAATGTCTTTCCGAATGAGTGGAAGACGATTAATATTACGTTTTTGCTTTTCGAATCAGAGTATTATATTGACATAGATCAATGAAATTCTTTTGAATATACGCTTAGCTCATTATCTTACTCTCATCCAATTCAAGTATCAGTAAAAGGCGGGTTTTAACTGTCTTTTTATTATAATCGAAATGTTTCTCATTTCAAGGACTTTCTAATGACACAAAGCTGAGTCTGAAGCTCTTTATCTTATTGAGTTATACGGTCGACAAGGTTTTCTGGTCGGCAAAAATCCAAGACTTTGAGCTTGATTTCTAAAACTTTTCGTCAGAATTCTTAGAATTCTGACGATTTCTGACAATTCTGAAATTCAGAATTGTTTTACGAAGACATCTCACGTAGTACTACTAGTGTTCCAAGTTTCGAAATTCTCATACTCGAGCTTCGTGAGATACCGAAAACCGTATATCGCTCCGACATGCTGGATCAATATTTTTCGATGTGAAGCAGGCATTTGATTTTGGCTGGATAGATGGTCTTATCTACAAGCTGACAAATTCAAAAGATCGACATATTTATTCTTCTGGATAATAGGATGTCTTCACCATTGAACTACCCACATAGAACTAGAAAACATTCTATCTAGAAAGTTTGTTCTCAAATCTGGCACACCTTGGGGTTCTCCACTACGTCCGCTTCTATACATCCCATACACGGCGGATTCAGTAAACAAAGCTCCACAGCATACAGAAATAGGATTGTTCGCTGATTACACATCATTCTAGACAGCTAGCAACAACTCTGTTAACTTACAAAAACGGTTACAGAAGTCCATAGATGAATTTCAAAAATGATGCTATTGGTGGAAACTTGAACTTCAATCAACTAAAATCGAATTTATTCATTTCACCCACCATCCACGAAAATACAAAAACACAATTCATCTGAAGATAGGCGAAGCCACAATCACGACTCAGTCAAACGCTAGATATCTTGGTTTTCTTGTTGATCAACAACTGAAATGGAATCATCACATGCAACATGTGAAAGAAAAGCTAAGATTGAAAGAAAGTTAAGATTTTTAGTTAAATACATTCCAGATGCGAATAGTAGAATTATTTTGAACCTGTACTAAACTCTGATAAGGTCAATAATTTCCTACAGTGCACCGATCACCTTTATCACCTTAGAAGATAAACACTTAAAACAGCTACAAGTCATTCAAAAGAAATCTATAAAAACGGCACTCTCTGTCCCGAGCTACACATCAACTACTTATATAAACCAAGTGTTTCGTATCCTATATTTTAAACAATTTTGTGAGAAACTAACAAAAAACACACTACGACGAACAAGCACGAATCAAGACCACCTATTAACAACTTTATTAGAAGACATTATCGAAATTGCTACTGATCAGCCTGCATGGATATAAACACAATATGCTGTTAAAATCCATGTAAAAATAACGTTATTCTAAAAAGCTTTTCAAGCTTAAGACCACGTGTCAGCGCCCTTTTTTATCTCTAGGTTTTAGATAGAACCGATGCCTCATACAGAAACTGGCGAAAAACGTCAGACACCAGTATAATTTAAGGAAAATATCTCCCAAAGTAACCTGGCTTTTGATTGTAACCAGACGTTTTCGAAAATTTTTGAACGAGTCATTCGATAGGGATTTAAAAGTTTCCCATGTGACATAGTTTTCAAGGTTTTAACATTTAGGTGGTATTCACAACCAAACTGCTTGAACCTTTCAAAACTCGCTTAGTTTCGCCTGATGTAGAGCTCAGGAATGTTAAAATTATTGCTCATATTGAGGTTTTACCGGAAGACCTTCAGACGTTTTCCGGAAAACCTACCCAAGACTTGCTCTGCTTTTTATAATTCTGGTCATCAGATCGGATACAAGAACTTTCCTTATGCTTACTCTTCAACTTTCATGCAGTTTAGTTAAAAAATGAAACTATCAGAAGCTTTTTATTTTAGTAGGTCATAGCGGAAAAATTGATTTTCCTGAAAAACTCATCTTTTGAAGTTTCTTTAATTCGGACAGCAAAACAAACATTGCCACGAGATTTAGCATGCCAGAAACCTATGTAGCATGGACTTTTGAGGCTCTTAAGGTTCAGGTTTAGCCGATAGGCAGGTCCCCGGAGATTGCCCGTAGCACCAGAAATACGGTAGACAGCGACTTGGGGCTGGCGCCATTTTGTAGAGCGACATCTTTTGCATATTCACATGTGTTTAGAATGGTACTTTGCTAGTACTATTCTAGTACTAATAGCAGATTTTTGGAACGTCAGGCGCGGACATTTCGTTTCGAAAGGTACACCACGGTAGACCTGCTCTGAAAGCTTCATTATTTCATAAATCTATGTGCCCCGGCATCTAGTTTTTTTTTAAGAAGCTGAAAACCGGAGGTCTCTAGCTCTTGCTGTTCAAAAGTTATTAAAATACATTGGACTGCACTATATTTTGAAACAGATAGTAGTGGTACTACGTGAAACGTCTTCATAAAACAGTTTTGTAAGAATTCTGGCTGGCGCGGACACAGTGTGAATTTTTCTATAGAACAGACGGACATATGCTGTGGAAGTGGTACAAAAATCTATAAACACGTTTTTCTATAGGTTTTCGAATATGCTCTTTCCAGTGGTGAGATTTCTAGAGCACAAAAATAATTTCCTATGAGTTTTCTCGAGGTCGGATCTCTGAAAAAACCATAAAAAATATTTTTGCGTTTCGAAAAGCTCACCATTGTAAAGAGCATATTGGAAAACCTATAGAAAAAATGTTGATAGACTTTCACACTATTGTTAAAACAAATATCCAGATTCTCCAGTACAGAAGCATCGGCGCTAATTGTGCTAATAGCTGGAATATAGGAGAATACTCTGTAAAAGATTGAAGGCGTTGCGATTTGACTTCTGAAGAACGCATTCATTTTATCGAACACAGCTGTTGGGAAAACCACGTAGTAAAAGGTTTTATTTTTTTCTCTCGCCACCTTTTCGTTCAAAGTCAAAATTTTTAATACTGATATATAGTAAAAAATGCGAAGATTCAGAATATATAATGCATTTGCTTATCAGATTAGCCCGTTTTCTGGTACACTAAATTTCTCGTTAATACCGGTATTTTCATACTAATTTTTAATTAGTTATTTTTCCATTTCAGTTAAACTTCGGAATAAAACTTGTATTATCATTGAATAGCGGCTCGTTCAAAGTATATGTGGCACCGTTTGAAACTTTCGAAAGTCGCTTTTCATTTTTTTTCACCTAATGTCCGCCTGAATGCACACTGTGAGGGAGGTGATACACAATTTCGTCAACAATAAAAAGAATATAGAGAAAAGAAAATGAATATAAATCAAGTAAATAGAAGAAGAAAAGGAAAGAGAAAGAAGAGTAAACGAAAAGGAAATAGAGATTCTGTGTGTTTTATAACCATTCTTTATACAGTTCCTTCAAAAACAAAAGTTCATTTTGAAATATAAAATAACAATAAAAGACAACGAAAGTTACTACTAGCTCAAAGAGGCTTTGTCAAGTTGCCGGCGATGTAAATCTGAAAGGAGCTGTATGGAAGCATCCAACTGCTGTCGCAGATATGAGAGTATTTCTAATTAATAATCACAAATATTTCTATTTTAAGCTTGTTTTCGGTTAGACAGTCCAACAAGGATTTTATCATAGTTTAAAAAATCGGTGAGGGAGTCGCAAATTTTTTTCTTTGCTGAAATTTGTCATTCTACCTTCCTAGGTGAAGGAGAAAAGAAATACAGTATTATTCGTAGTTAATATACATTTAGCACATCATGGTCACGCTAACCTGCATACCAAACGCTTGCTTATTTAGTTAAAAATCAATCACTGACTGATATTATATTATTTTTTAAGATTAATATCAAAAATATGTGCATAGTTTATGTTTAATTAAACAAATAGTACACACAGTATTTTTTTTATTTTAGTAATATAATTACTGATGACATTGTTGTATATTTATTTTGTATTGCTTTTTAATATTTTTAAACTCATTTATAGTGAAGAACAACAAAGCATAGGAATCGACAATGGTAATCAACATCATAATACTGAACAAATGTTTTCTGCTTTACAAAAAGTACATGAACGATGTCCGGAAATCACATATATTTACGATTTAACATTAAAAAGTGTAGAAGGACGACCATTACGTGTTATTGTATTCTCTGATAATCCCACTGAACATGAACTTCTCGAACCAGAATTTAAATACGTTGCAAATATGCATGGGAATGAAGTGGGAGGTAGAGAAATGCTAATAAAGTTAGCCGAATATTTGTGTAATGAATATAAATTTAACAATAATGAAACTATCAAAAAATTAGTGGACAATACGAGAATACATTTGATGCCTTCTATGAATCCTGACGGATGGGAGTTCGCTGCTGCTTATGCCTGGAATACGACTGGGCATCAACGTTTTCCAGACATTGAAACAATGTTAAAAGTAAGACAGTTCCTGATTACAAATTTCACTGTAAAGTTACTACATCTGCTATTCAGATATAAGTATACCGATGAGGGACCATTCCCCTCGCTTTTTGCCCGAAATATATCTGCTTATAGGTAATCGACGATGCTGATTACGAATATGATAGCCATTTAGACTTTTATTGATCTTCCAGGAACCCAACGTTTTCTGGAAATTCTAAAATCTATATCCTATTAATTTCAACTGGTGGTAGCGATTCACAGGAAACGGCTAATTGTTTAAATGATTTTTAGCGCCTCTAAAACATATCTGATGCAACTAAAAACTAATGGATAAACAGAGTTTGACATCCTCTGTAACTTGATGTTGTCAATACACAGTTTTCAAGAAAATTAAATTTGAACTCTTGGAGACTAAATTATCTGTCTTTCAACTTTTGGACTAAAAGAGCAATAAGAGCCCAGATGGCCATCATATTCGGAATCAGCATCGTCAATTACCTATAATCAACTATATTTCGGGCAAAAAGCGAGAAGACACCTTGAATTGGTCCCTCGTGAGTGCATGCAGATGACTAATGAGAAGAAAAGCTTGGAGGTACAACTTGTTCGGTCTCGTCGAACTTATTGCGATACTTTATTGACATTGGTTGAAATCATGAGTAAATAGATCTAAATTCTTTTAGTTTTCGTATAGGAAGAAGGTGCTACTAGTTGGATGGCTGGACGTTCAAATGCCAATCGTGTCGATCTTAATAGAAATTTTCCAGATCTCGATAATTTTATATTTAAATACGATTATTATCCTCATCATCGAAATAATCATTTGTATGTTGAAACAATTGCTCAGTTCATAAATGGCACTGATTGTCGCAATAAAGCAGTAGGTTTGTTATCTATATTTTGACAAATATGTTCAGTAGAACTTTTTGATTTTATTTCTTCTTTGTTTGTTTTTTATTCTAGTTTCAAGTAGAAACAATAACCGTTGCATTTTGGATTATACACTCACCTTTTGTTTTATCAGCCAATTTACATAATGGTGCTCTGGTAGCAAGTTATCCTTATGATGATGATGAATTACACATGAAAATATACTCACCATCGCCAGATGATCAGGTGTTTCAGTATGTATAATGAGAATATGTCATTTATTATTGTTTCTGATCTGGACTTTTATCTTTTCAGACAATTGGCTGAATCATATTCATTTTCACATCCAAAAATGAGTAAATCTTTGCCATTGTGCGCAAATAGTACCATTAAATTTGAAGATGGAATAACAAACGGTGCAGCGTGGTATCCACTTTGTGGTGGTATGTTACTAGATAATACTTGCAAAAAATATCTTGTTTTTTTATGGAATATTTTCAGGAATGCAAGATTTTAATTATTTGGCAAGTAATTGTTTTGAGTTAACTATTGAAATGGGCTGTAAGAAATTCCCTCCTGGAAATTATCTACCTCTTATATGGGATGATAATAGGAATGCATTAATTAATTATATGTGGCAAGTAAGTGATCTAATCACATCATATTTCGATGTTCATATTTTCTTTTCACGATGAACAGACCCATATTGGAATTAAAGGTTTAATTTATGATGATGAAAATCAGCCGATTTATAACGCTACAATAAAAGTGTTTGAATTAGTCAATAATAAATGGAAATATCTTGATCATGACGTTACATCAGGTAAAAACAGTCAGTTTATTATTTTGTTTGTAGCAGAGGAGAACGATGTGATAAATCTATTTTGTCCATATTTTCTTAGCTGAAGATGGTGACTATTGGAGATTACTAGTGGATGGATCATATGCAATACAAATAAACAAACCAGGTTATGAAACAAGTGTAAAATATGTTGATGTGGAAAATAAGAAACATGCTGAAGCTCAACAAGTAAACTTTATATTAAATCGTCGAATGTCAGATAAACAATTAAATATTCGAGTTTTCTTAAAAAGGCTAATGGAACAAGTGAGTTATTGTTTGTCTGATAATATGTTCATTTTGGGGAAAAAGATTTTCGGAGAACACAATAGTAGACAAACGAGGACTAAATTTCTAAAAGTGAAAGCCGAGCACTAAATCGAGCACTATTTTCGAGATGTGTTAAAAGAGAACTTATAAATAGATTTATTGAGTACTACCTTTTTATTAATTAACTTAGTTAAACGACTGGACCAATAAACGGTTAGTCACTTTCAGTACACAGAAAACAGAAGAACTAACCTTTTCATCTATTGTGCGGAACGCAACGTTTTACCCACTTTCCTTAAACGGTAACATGCTAAAACAAGTGACAGGACATAAACATCTAGGACTCGTTTTGGATCAGCACTTAACTTGGAACGAATAAATAAATTACGTAATTAATAAACTAAGAAGTAAAGGAACGAACATTTTGAGAGCTTTGCAAACGACACTGGCACGACCGGCTCTTAGACAAATATACTTATCTTATATTTTGGTCGCTATGGAGTATGGACTGGTCGTATATAGCAATACAACTCAAGCTAATGTTGATCGATTGCAAAGCCTTCAAAATGAGGCACTTTTGGTTATATCCGGAGCGTGTCGTGGCACGTGCATCGAAAAGTTACAAATTGAGCTAGGTATACCATCTGTTAGGTAAATAATTCAATATTCTAAATTAAAATTGATTCATAAAATCATACACAATCAGTCTCCTTCCTACCTGAGAAGTCTAATTACGTTAAAAAGAGACACAAGTACTAGACAGACGCGTCACTATGTACCAATAGATATAGTTCCTCCAATATCCAACACATCTTTTATAGATCAGTATTGGTGAACGTTATACATACTGGAACAAACTGCCCTACGAAATGCGATCTATCACAGATACTGAGAACTTCTCTATAAAATTGAAAAATTTCTGAAGTTTTCCATCTCGGCCACCAGTTTAGTACAATGTAGGAAGTCGGATAAACATTATCCATCTGACCCGTATACGCCTGAGCTTTAGCTTTCCATTAGCAGACCAATATAAACATCACTTCGTTGCGACACCAAACTGCAGTCATTATAATAAGCCTAAAACAGCTGAGCCTTACCTTTTAAAATGCCTTCGTTTTGTCCAGGAAAAATCTATCTTGTTGAACAATATGAAATCGATTGCCGCATTACCACAAACTACTGAACTCATTCTAAAAGGGTCAATTAATCTCACCCCAGAACAAAACATCCTTATCGTAAATAATGTTCATAAATACATAGTTGACACTAAAAGATTCACTTAACACTCTTTACTTCTTGTGCTACTCCATTTTATTGTTATATGTAGAGAGGAAAAGTTTCTTGTATATTACAATCCTCGTTAAATAAATTAAACTAACTAACTTAATTAATCAACAGAACATAGAAGAAGATAATCGAATAAATGTTTTTTTACTGTTATATACTGTCTGTGCATAGTGCATCTTTAACTATTTAGTTTTAACATACGATGTTAAAGTGGACATCAAAGAATTTTAAAAAATTCCAGTATAATAGTAGTATACACAATTATTTACAATATTTGTCTTTGTCAGATACATTACACATATCAAAACTACATGCTTGTCATCGTCAAAAATGTCAAATAAAAACTCAACAACCATTTCGATCGGTATCTCTCCCGCTGAAGTAAACGATTTATTAAAATCGTTAAACATCTCACAATTTCGAACAAATTGTCTCAAAAATTCTATTAAATATTATCATCGGCGTAGAAATTATAAAATTTTTCCACTATGCAAATATCAGATTCAATGTATTACGCCAAGCACAGATTCGAGTACTTATACTTTAATGTGCAAGATCTTCTCATGACCATACTCAACGAAGAGAATCAACAAGGTTACCATCACCAGTACAAACTTCGGCTGTCAAGTACGCTCAGAATAGGTTAATTCAACTACAAATTCGAACAATGAACAATGCTGACAGTTGATCGTCCCACCTATACTGTATCAACTAGTCGATTAACAAATATAATATCATATCACAGAAAAAAATAATCGTCCAAATATATTCTTGGTGCATGACTTTAGACATTGGTGTGATGAACGTAAGGATAACATTACTATGCATAGGCAGTACATAATAGTAAAAAAACATTTACTCGATTTTCTTCTTCTATGTTTTGTTGATTAATAAAGTAAAATTAATAAAAAGTTAGTACTCAATAAATCTACTTATAAGTTCTCTTTAAACACATCTCGAAAATAGTGCTCGATTTAGTGCTTGGCTTTCATTATTACAAATTTAGTGCTCGTGTGTGTCTACTATTGTGTTCTCCAAAAAAACTATCGTTCTTCATTTTTGATGATTTATTATTTCTTTTAGAATTAGCAAAGAACTGAACAGTAGAAAAATTAAAATATATTTTAAATTTCACAGTATCAAATCTCAAAAATCAAATTTTATTTTTATTGTAGACTTCTTCTCATAATATGAAATATTGGACTTTTTTATGCATTTAATTCATTTCGACTCACATGCTCAACTATATTATAAAAGTCATTTTTCTTCTACTTATATTATAGATGTCATTTTTCTTGTTTACTTTTTGATTATCAATCTGCATTTAAAAGTGATGTTGGACTGATGAACAACAGACAGTATATCTATTCTTTATGTTAATTGAAATAGTAGTTGTTAATATTTCCACTGTTTTATCTGTGATATTATCAGTTATTTATTTATGTTGTTGTTTTACATCAGTGTATTCAATCTATTTTATATAAAAAAAGTATCTCGTCACTGATTGACATGTCTTGTTTATGAATTTATATGTGTACGATTCAACACAGACTTTTATCTTGATCAAATTGATCAACTGATCCTTCATTCATTCCATTTTCTTTGTTGACCAAGATATGTAATAAATAAGCTATTGAAAAATAGCTAGATGAATATGTTGCCTTGTTAAACATTTGTTCAAAAAATTAGAAAATATGAAAAATTACAATGCATATGGTATGACTAATCATATTGAAACATAGTCAGAGACTTCATTTATAAAAGAAAGGGATGGATATATCGAACTTTCTTAACAAGTAATGAAAGAAAAATGTTTTAATTTGATTTTTTTAACGTTTTTAAAATTTACTCTAATTGGACATGCATAAAATTGTGGAAAGATAGTGTTATACCTTCTTTTATCTCATTATGGAATTTATCGTTGTTCATATATGCTTGAGAGTCAAGTGCAAATGGGAAATACTTCTTCTCTCAAAAATCAAAGGAAATATAAATGAGAAAGGAAGAAGAAAAAAGAAGATTGTTTTCCCTTATTGTCATATTTGAATAGAAAGGAGAAATTATAATTGATTGATGTATACAAATAATGATAAACATAAAGACATGTGCGTGTGAGATAAATAGAAATATAAACGATAAGAAGAATTTTCAATACAATCATTCAAAGAAAGAAAGGACAAAGCGGATATCAACAAAAATATATTATTATTTATTAGACAGTTTTTTTATTACTAACTACTAATTTTTTATTAGTATTATTGTGTCAGTAATCACTGAGCATGACACGAACTATTTTAATTGTGAGTTTAATTCTGCTCATCATCTTCAATGTTGGTAAGGCAATTTCTTTTTTTGAACGATCGAAGGAAAACATTTAACAATGAAAGAAGTTCAAAAATGTTTCGATTGATACTACTTGTTCGAGTACAACTTCTCATTTCTTTCTTTTAAGTTGTGGTATAAGATTTACTGAACTTTCATAAAAAAATCATGAAAATAAAAACAAAATCAATTTTATCACTGTTTATCAATAAAAAAACAAATGCACTTTGAAAAAAATAATACCAAATAAAGTTTGTGGCCATTGGAGGAAATCCGTTGTCGCATTAAGGAAGACGAAGGTATCGCTTGACCATCATTTGCTCCATGGAAAAAGACATTGACACAAGTTTCTGAATCGTGAACAAGGTCTCTGAAGATGTTAGAAAACCTCATTTCAAGAAGGGATTTTCGTGGAACATGCATTAACTGTTCGATGAACTTTTCGTTAGCGATTGTTGAAAGGGGAGGGGGACATTTTCTGATGAAATCAACCCGTTAATCGAATTCAGTTTTGTGGTGTCTCTTGACCCTCATTTCAAAAATTCAATTACTGCATGGAAAAAGACAGAGACAAGTTTTTGAATCCTGAACCGGGTCTCTGAAGTTAACTTAGTAACTAGAAAATAGTTATCGATACTTTCGAATTCCGAGCCTGGAGGAAGAATTACTCATACCATTACAAAATCAAAATTTTCGATCACATTCGACATATTTATCTAGATCTGAACTGACTAAGGAAAGTTTTCAATAAATTCATTTTTCGATGAAAGTTCGCAGTGCCGTAAGAATATTGAGGCTATTGTCTATACTCTTATCAATTTTTTAAATTTGTGATATATTTTTCTGATTGTTTTTAGCTGAAAATTCAATCAAATATCGAAACCGTGGTAAAGAACGTGAAAGTCTCCTTGAAAAACAACAACGAGAGGAGAAGGAACGCGATAAGAACGCGAATACAACAGGTAAGAACATGATTTAATATCTTTGAAATTTATGCTGATTCACGTTCACAATTGTCCGGACCAACATTTACCGGTACGACATTTTTACCGGTAGTTGTATGGAATGAGTGCGCACCAGTGCCCTACTCAAAGCTTCTCCTCATGTATCTGTACCGAACGAGTGCCAGTGAAGTGTGAAAACAACAGGGGCACCCATTGGCATCAAATTCTATTGTTGAATCACCCTTTTGTTTTGTCAACGTCTGTCTACATAAATATTACCGTATAGTTGTATTATTTCGAATGTCTTTTGGACTTCATCTTTTCCTTCGCGTAAAAAAAAGTACCGAGGTAGCGACATATAATTGTGAAACTGGCGCACTCAGGAATCTCTTAGAGTCTATCAGCTAACTAAATATTTTTATGCAAACAATTCTTTCTCGTGAAATTGACGTCAGATAAAATAAATATTTTCTAAAGGAATGGGGTCATCAGTGCATCGCTGGATTGTAGCATAGTAATGAGCCACTGATACATATCGTCGCGCATTTTAATAAAACACAAAATCAAATAAAAGCAACAATAATAAAAAATGAATTGGTGGCTAAATAGAGTTAGAATGAGACACTTTTGCTAGAACGAAATCGTTCACCTTTTTTTGAAGATAGACATATATCAACGATGTAATTTCGGCGCTTGCAGTTATAATCTGCCAATAAGGATCTTTTCACCTCTTCATTTTAGAAAAGTCACGCAATTTGACATGTTATTCTTGTGATGGTGATTATTGTCGTGATCCTTTTACAAAATCCGACACAGTTCCATCCGTCACATGTTCATCTAGTTGTTGGGTAATGTGTATGATCTCTTTTAAATGTTTTCTAATACCTAGTTATTTTTTGTGTCGTTATTTATTAATAGAAAGGTGTTTTTGCTGCAAGTGTTCGACGTGGCTGTGGTGACAAACGATGTACAATCTCGTTTAGTGGCGGTTCTGCATTGAGTAATACATGTTGTACGAGCTCATTGTGTAACAGTGTCACCAAATTTTATACAGGCTTGCCAATATTATTTGTTTTAACAAATATTTTAATTTTTTGCGTAAAGCAAAAAAACCAATAAAATAAAAAACATTTCACAGGCTTTGGAATATTTTGAGTTTCTTTTAATAGCTAGCTATTGTTGAACGTATAATGAATATCAAACATCTTTAAATCTGCGACAGTAGAGAAATGAACTTGTGAAACAGACGTGTGATTGGTTCTGTCTCAATCAAATAGAACTATTTTCTGTTCGATTCGATTTTGAAAAACCAGGAACTGATCCCGCCTCTGTTGTGGGATGCAATAGCGAATCCACATCATATTTCATATAGCAGATGATAATTTAATAGTTAATAACACTGGTGCCTCAAAAGAAAACTTGATTTTAAGTTGATATTTTTGTTCATGATTCTAAGTATGCTCGTTATACGAAAGATTTCTTAAACACAAAATCTTCGATCTATAACTGATTATTAGCGATGAAATTTATTCCTGTAAACAAAAGAAAATTTAAAATATTCTAGCAAACGAAATAAAAAATTTTTTTTGTTCTCAAAGTAAAGGAGTATACTTCGTTCTCTCAAAGAATAAAGCAAAAAGGTAAACCAGCAAATATTCAAGTGTCTTTATATCCTATTTATTATGCATTTATATAAGTTTTTGGTTTACTGTACAGATGATGCTGTTGACTTTATTAAATACTTATCCGATGGAAACAAGTGAAAAATATAACAAGAACATTTTTCTCTAGCAGCAACTTTTTATCCTCGATAAACACATATAACAAAGAAGTAATTTTTGTTTTAGTATAACAAATAATGCAAAATATTTTTCAGCGAGCAGTTGCACTTTAAAGGGTGAGTTCTGTACTATCTGGTTTTTGTTTGAAATTTTTATTGTTCGTCAAAATTTCGTTGTTTCAACATTATATCTCTCGTTTTTGAACTCGTAAACACGATTAGATTTACCTCATACGACTATGTATGTTGTATGTAAGGCTTAAATCTTCATAGTATGCGATCTTCGATAATTTATTTAGTTTATTCTTTTTTTTAAACTAATAGAAAAATCGTTCGCACATTTGTATTGTCACTGACGTGTAGTTGAGTGGTAACATAAAAAAACGTTCTAGTTTACATGGCACAAATTTCAACGGAAGAATTAGATTCACTTTTGGCTGACATGCTAATCAGTAATAAATCGTTTCCACTCCATCATGTCATCAGTGGCGAAGAACCTGGCATCGGTATTGGTCGAGAAAGTGGAGATAATGAACAACAACAAGAAAAATTTGTTGAACAATTAAATCAACGTTTATACTATGATAGACAAAAACGAGCTCGTCCAAGAGATTATGCGACACTATTGAGACAATATAATAGTCCGAAGTATACATATTCACCGACAAGATCAGTTTATTATTACCATAATATGGGACAAAAACAAACAGCACCAATGACAACAACAATAAATCAAGTAAGAAGCGATGACATGATCTAGAGATAACGTCCATAGTTGTTTGTTGCTGAGTTATACGTTGTGAAACGTACAACGGACACATAGTGTTTTAACGTGGAGTGGTGGATGGCGAAATTAGGAACAATTTGGGTGACATATCTTCTCTTACTTTTCTTTTTAAAATCCTTTTGTTCTCCAAGAAACAAGTTAAAATTAAAATATTATCCATATTTGACAAATAAAACAAAAAAAGAGAACGAGCTAAAAAGAAGCAAGACCATAAGTAAACGACGTGTAATTTACTACCAGAGTTATTTTTCTGTATGTATTCATTTCGTTCGGTAATTTTTAAGCTTTATTTTCCTTGATTAGTCAAGATAAAACACCTTCTAAGGAGTCATATTTATGTGATATGTGTTACCTTCTAGCGATCATCGATCAATTGTTCAGATTCTCATAATGAGAGAATAATAATTCTCTTTTTTTCTTTTTGAGAGATTTCCGGTTCCACAAAAAGTACCACCGCCTAGTCCAGCTCGAAATCATAAACTACCATTAACGCCTAGAACAAATTATTGGCTCGGTTTATATCAGGCGTCACTTCATTTGAATGGAAGAGGAAAAGATACATTGTCCTCTATAAATTTGACAAAAACAACACGAGGTAGTGATTGGTCAATGAATAACGATAATGATAATTCGCCTTCGAGAACAAAACAGTATGCATCATTGCAGCGAAGAGGAGAAACAAATAACGACTATTCAGCATTTTTCGATCGGAATTTGGCACCATCGAACAATTCAAATCATAAACTGAAAACATTTAATCGCCTACCGTTGGTGAAACAAAAAAGACAGAAGAATAACAATAACAGTTATTATAACGATCAATTACCAACTACAGTCAAGGCAATTGTACAACCAGAGACCTTTGCTGAGTATCAAACATTAATAGCTGATAGAAAAAGATTATTAGAAAATCGCACTATCGATAAGAAACATCTAGTAGTATCGCCATGAGTCGATAAATACAACTCGTTATTCTAAGTAAGAACCATTTCATTGAGTAAATAGCGAGCTATTCTTGATATCATGTGCAATAGCAAACAATAATAGTAATAGTTATCATCTGTTTCTCTTCTACTTTCTCGTATCCCTGTCATTTTAACAAAAGACAGAAGACTCTAAAGGAGAAGCGACCAAATGGCGTCAATTTCCTATCCTTACTTGGTAACTTGATCCTAATAAGATTTTAGTGAGAAAATAATTTCTCACACTTTTTCTCAGTTCATTCGAGTCTTTGACGCCATGGAGAAAATCATTTAATTAATTTACTCAAGTCACATCTAAAGGATATAGCTCTGCTTGATAAAAACAGTATTTTTCCAAAATCTAGACTTAGAACAAGGATAAAGCTTGATATAGCAAAAAAGACAATGAAAAACTGAGCAAAAATGTTAGATGAACCTTAGTAAGGTGAAAAGAGAAAGAGTTCATTTTGAAACATCTTGTATCTGTTGTCAGTTAGAGAGTGCTCATATTCACCGATTTTCTTTAATATGTTAAACAAATAAGCTGTACAGATCATTAGTTCTGTCCTATGAGACTCTATTATAAAATCTAGTGAAAGCTTTTTGCGAAAACTTTTATTACCAGTTTTGTTTCACACTCCTGTTTATATATAAATTCGAAAAGCTCATACGTGGAATAACTTCGAAATTTTTTCTTTCTTGAACATAACTGTCCTCTCATTAGAGTTATAGAAATTCATTTTCTTTTTAGTCTCATAGTTATAGATAGGACAGTTCAAGAATGAATCTATGATTAATGTATGTCTGATGTCTATGACTATCATATACGACAGGAAAATATCTAAAAAATTTTCAACCAGGACCTTAAGACATCTTGTCTAGACGTTGAAATTCCTTGCATAAGATGATAAGTTTAAGAATTTAAGATTTCAATTTGGTGTTGTTGCCAAGATCTTGGTTTTAGGAAGTTTCACTACAGAAGTATATTATAGTTAAACACTTAAAATGGAAAAGTTCTGACGCTGTTGATTGTGATTTTCCAGAACTATCAGAAGATCAGTTAAGAGAATTAAGTTTCCGAAAATCAGCTTCTTATCTGTATTAATGCTCAATTTCTTACTGGTGTTAGATGTTTCTTAGTTACATCAAGTCAAAAATTATGTTGCCGATCAGCTAAAATACAAGAAACGTTTTCAGCCAGTTCTTGTACAAAAAAAGTTTTTCGGCAAAGAGTCTGACTTTGCACGAGTGAAATATAAATGATTTATCAATGGGAAAAATATGTGTACACAGTTTGATGAAAAACTAAAAACAGCCGAATGAATGTTGGTATTGTATATGTAGTTCTGATAGTCGTAGAGTCGATTGTTGCTCCCGTTTTGCAGCTTTTATAAAAGATGATTAACCACTTTTATAGATACAGAAATTGAGACACTATTTCGATCATGTCGAAGACTGTCGCAAATATTTAGAATACAATTTGTATTTTTTACTATATCCTTGTTCTTCTAAGACTGAATTTTGGAAAATAAAGATCAATGCCATTTGGTCCCCACTCCTTTCTTAATTATTTGTATACATAGCTTTTACAATAGAAGACTATACTCTTTTATTCTATATTGCTTACCCACTCCTCTATCTTTCTATACAGTTTTACGTTGGAACAAAAGTTTAACAAGATAAACGCCACGATAAAACGAAAAATAATATTTAATTTATATTTTATGACCATTTTATCTCTTGTTTTGGTCACTAATGAGTTGATCTTTTCTATTGAGAATAAATACACGTTATTACTATTGTTATTTTTTTACATTTTATATACTTTGTAACCCTTTTAAATTTTACTGAACATTGCATGTTTTCAAGTGAGAATAAATAAATAAATGAGTTACATATTTCACTTTACTCTTAAAATATAAAATCCATTAGACTTCATAGTAATTGTAAAAGAAATAAGTTTCACTTTTTTATTCGATGACATATCTTTTTCTAACTTCCATTTTAAATTGTATTCCACTATTTGCCATCTATCTAAGCTGTCTAGTTTTGAGATTACATATCCAAAACATTGATTTAAAAGTATTAAACAACTAATATCTAATAAAACAACTTCAACTAGTCTTTACTTTGTCATTGAAGAATTATGATAAACTCGTTCAGATTCAAATGGGTTGTTCACAAGAAGAGATTTTGACATCGGTAAATATAGATTCGACAATTGAAGAGTATTGAAATTGATAGCATTTTTGTTCCCAAAAGAAATTATTCATTTAAACTAAATGCTATATCATGCAAATAGCATCATATAATCATCGACATTATCATACATTCGTTTTTCCTTTGATTTAAAACTTATCTTGATTTAAGACGATAATACAAGAATTCGAAGGTGTACAGATCTGTGAAATTGGTAGCTCGAAAGATTATTGTATTTGAACTACAACACATGTCCTAAACACAAATATAGCATAACTGATGATAAACACAATAACTTCATTATGGGAGAATTGATATTCGTACCTGCAACTGTTCATTTAATTTATATGTTAAAATAGTCTGTGATAAAAATAAATTATCTTTGACAATTCCAAGATCATTGGCAAATTGTATTTTGGCCACCATTTTTAAGCATTGTATCAATTCATAATCATTAATTGAATCATATTTACATTTTTCAACTTGAGTATTATCTTCATTTGCGAAGGCAATAATCATTTGATTTAGTGCTTGTCGATTGAATAGTATTGCCGCACCATTTGATATCATTTGATGTTGTTTATACATTCTCTCTACATCACCCGCATACGCAATTGGCAATTGACTACTGTAACTATCTAAGCGTGAAACTAATTTCCGTAGATTCTCCATAATAACAATTGTTTCATCAGTAGCACGTAAAAACCATGAATAAGACGAAAAATCTTTAGAGATTGTTGGTAAAACATCAAATGTTCGTTCAACAGTTTCGTTTTCTAACATATCTATATTTTGAAAATTTTCTAACATCATGAAGTCAACACTTGTATTTTGTAATTTTGTTACAAAATAGAAGCGATCACAACGTTTCGCCCATGTGTACAATGTGGCTATGGACGATTTTTCGTGTTTTGAACTTGAACTGAGAACAAAACAAAATATTGATGATAATTTTGCCGACGATGGAACTATAATGGCACAGAGTTATAATAGATTGATTATAGTTGAGTTTGACGTGAAGTTATAAAGTTCAGAAAAGCAGTAAAAATTGTATCCCAGTTGAAGAAATCAAAATTTTTAGATTCTTTTATGATTTTTTAGTCATCTGTAGAAAACTTTCTAAAATTGCCATGGGCAGCATCCAGATCCACCTGTAAATTATCGTGATTTCACTACGAAATTATTAATGTTAAGATTGCAACGTTGCTTCAACTAGTATTTTTCTCTATGAATTCGACATACCATATTTTTCTGTTTCAATGAAAGTTGATAAGTATACTGTTAACACGCTAATTACGATGAAGAATAACAATAAAATTGAAAAGAAAATTAATTTATAATATAAATTAAATTTTAAGTGTAAAGATTTCTGAAGTTTCTTCATGTAACTGGGTAAATAGGTAGTCGTTTAGAAAAAAAACAATAATCATCCATTTAAGAAAGCAATTCGATCAATTGTATGATAGGTTATGCATCACTGATTTGTCATATTGATAGCTCTATTACTTGATAAAAATTTTAATGTATTAGGTATCGAAATACTCATTCAGAACTCATTTACGAACTATGACAATTCCTTATCGATTCACATATTGAAGTTTTCTCAAGTATTCCATATTATAAATTGTTGGACTATCTTGTAATTGAAATCTGATGTTATGCGCTTCTTTGATATTTATAATAAGTATTTTCTCTCAAATACTATCAACCTTGATTTAAAAGGCTTACCTTGAATTTTATATGATCTTCATGAATTTTAAGTAATAGCACTTATAGCTCTTTTTTTGGATCACAAAAAAAAAGAAAATGCACAATTGAAGTTAAAAATGTGCAGTGCATCAAATTTATAACTTAGCATTATGATGAGTAGAATGAATCTTTCAATTATTCACTTAGAGAATAGACCATTTTTTAACTTTTTGATGAATGATATATTACTGCTATTTCTTTTGAATTGACACAAATAAATTTAGCCTCCGAAATGTTAAAAGTATTTGTCTGCACTTTTTTTTTTCAAATACATAACTTTATATAATCGTTCAATATTTTTTTTTTTTTGAATTTGATGATTGCCATTTTACATACACATATACATATTTCACCTTTTTGTTCTCTTTCAATTATGTAAAGTGAACCATGATCTTCTCTCCAACATCCAAATATATACAATATAAAACATCTACGAGTCGAATATAATGCGATATATACATATTATACACACCTTTAGTGTATGTAGAGAAAAGGGCGAAACAAATATACAGGATTAAACATATTAAATTTTTTTCGTTCAACTATGTAGTATATAATTGTATAGTAAAAAAAAACATTTACCATTTGTGTCTCAAGTGGAAAATATATTTTATGTATAAAACAAAATATTCAATAGTGATGTTATCAGAGAATTTTAACTATATCTGATTTGTACATATTCATTGAAGAGTTATCGAGTCTTATTTTATATTAGTCAATTTCTCTCTAAATATATTGCATATATATAAACATATATTCACAAAGTACACGTTTTCTTTTTCCTTTTAAAACAAAAATCATATGATTTAAAAAGACTAATAAATGAAGATGGAGAGTCTATTTTAAAGAAGAAATACACAATCATTTTTCTTTTTTTCTCTCTTCCAGATAAATAATATTAATAGACGACAATAAAAGTTTCAAAAAAAAAAAACATAACAAACTTTCCAGGGTACAATATACTTAAACATGTGCATTTTCGATTTATATTCATCATGTGCTTTTCAACCGAAAGATTTTGTCGCATTCTTTTTTCTTTTTTTTTTTCCTCTTTTTCTCAAAAATGATGCGAAAAAGAACGTTAAGAGAGACAAAAATATAGAATCTACAAATAATAAAAACAGCTGATCATCATATCACGTCACAAAGCGTACACATAGTAATTTTTTATTGCGCAGTAGAAAAAAACGAAGAAAAATATAACGTCTCTTCCTTTTTTTTTTTACACATACAGTATTATCGGAACAAAAAAAAAAAAAAAGCAAAGCATATCTATAGATTTATAATTATTCTAACAGAACGTGAACGCGTTGTCGTTGAGTAGTGCGCCATGAATTTATTATTATTAGTACAAAAAGAAAACAATCTGAATTATCGAAAACATACCCATTAGTTGTATATACCTGGTAAATTATTAAAGTGGCTCATGAGTAGATGTAAATACATGTAACCAAGGTAATGAATTTTTTTTATTTCAAAAAAATAACTTTAATCGTATGATTTATGGAAAATCATGCAGTAAATAGTTGTTCTATAGACAAAAAAGCAAGTATTGTTCATCTAAAGACTATTCTGATTCTTAATTTCCCTCAGATTTTCTGAAATTCTAGAGAATGAAACTGTCATAAGATGTAACTCATTATATTTCGAAGTGTCTAAGCTAGAATGACAAATATTATGACAGTTTAAAAGTTAGTTGAGAATGCAGAGCAGTTCGGGTATTATGAGAACAGACAAAATCGTTCTTACAGATCATCTAAAGTAGTTATGATGTTCACGCAGTAGATTTGAAGATATCAAGAGATATTTAAGTATTTTATTGTTGAAAAATATTAGTGTGAAGAAAAAAAACAAAGTTCATGCAGAGTCGTGGAAAGTGCTTTTTTCATCATATTCAATACACTCAATATCTCAAACGATTTTTTATATTTGGCAAGGAGTAATTGTCAAAAGTTGAGGAAAACTTTTTGAATAAAATGGCTGTCGAAAAATTTTCATGAGAATATAATATGAGTTTCAAAATTTTTCTTAAATGTTTAGATAATACATCTTGATCAAAATAAAAAAACTTCTGGATTATCGAATGTGCTTACAACAACTTTTTCACGACTCTGCATGAACTTTTTTTTTTGTTCTATCTATGATATGAAACATCATTAAAAAAATTTATTCTCATTTGTTTAAGGCATCTTGGTTATCATTATTTTCATAAACTAATATTGTTCAATTTTTACAACATAATAATCAAAACTCTTGTGTTGTTGTTGTTATTTTTCTTTTCTTGTGCGTGCGTGAAAGATTATTATCATCTCACTCGCAAACTCGCTATTCTTAGGGGAACAAAATTTTTCATTTTCTATCATACAATTGGATGTAATTGCTTCATCATCTTACTCCGGAAAAAGTACACGGAGGTTTATAATAAACACATGACATTTGGATCTTTTTTTTTCTTTAAGTTAGTAAAAAAAAAGATAGAAATTACTTCAATATAGAAGAATGTGTTCAAAAAATTTTGTTATGTGCTTTCCAAAAAATAAATTATCAGACGAGACAAAAGTAAATACTATGCCGTTTGATTTTTGATTTTTTTAAACTTCTTTCTCTTAATGACAGTCCATATACAAGTTACATATACAGGAAACGCCATTCTAAAGGAGAGTAAACGTTGTTTTAGGGAAGAAAGATAAGTCGAAGTACATTAGTTTCATCTGAATTATAGAATTGCCATTGCTCATTACGTAAGTTGCTTCATCTGATTTGTGACTATATATATCGATTCTTTGTTTCTCCCTTAAACAATTCTTAAAGCAAACAGGCTTTTTTCTTGCATTTCTGTTTTTTATCAGAAATTGTATATATAATAAACCATAGATTCTGAAATTGAGAATATGCACAGTAAATTATATATATATATATATATATATATCCATGTTGAAAACATCAAGGTTAACAATTTGTTGTCTTTTATATTCTCGATTAGAACGGCCATATAATTGCGTTTTCTTCACTTTCATCGCGCAACAATGAATGAATAGAATCTTAAGCTGGTGACAAAACCGCTTCAGAGTTACGCACTCTGTTATCCTTGAAACAATATAGTAGCAGATGTTAAAGACTAAAAGAAATTCAAGAAGAATAAAAAACTAAAAATTTAAATAAATTCTTTTTTTCTTTTTCTTATAGAAAATCAACCAAATCACCAGTATCAATAATAATTCAAATTCTTTATTATATATTACATTTTTCCCGTATTACAGTTCGTCGTGGCAAGCTGTACGGCAATTTTCACTACGGTAAGATAATTTTTAATGATCAATGTAGTGTTAATCTTGCTAAAACGATTTCTTTCATTTTATTTTACGTATACTACACAAATCTAACAAATACATATATCGTGTCAGGTTGAACTCTGATTTTTTTTTTTCGCATTATTTGTAAGTCTATTATATCTAGTATACAAGGCAAATTGCATTTATCACTGTTTTATTATTGTCTTATCAAACTGCGAATGTGAATGTCTGTACATATGATAAAATCCCATTGTCATGAATTAGATAGCGTGTCCCTAAAAATATAAAATAAACGTGATTAACGCAATTCACAGCTGAAAGAAGAAAAAAAAAAAGAATAGAGAATATTTGACATTTAACCTTCGTTATCACAGTCTTAGGAACGTTTTTTTTTTTTTTTTTTTTGTTTGTCTAAGAAGGAAAAACATAAAAGCACAATCATTGTTGGAAAACTGTTCTACCTTAAAATAATCTGCAAATCACGTTCGCTCATTATATCTCATTAGAAAGATTGTATATCTAATAACTATATAGTAATTGATAACCTTTGATAACCTTCAGACATGAAAAAAAATTTATTCAAACTATTTGTTTCGGATAATTTTTGGTACTGCTATATAGCTAGTTATCATCAATATGATTATAGATTGTCACTGTTTGAATATATGTATGAAAGATCTATAACTTAGATAAATATTAAAGAAAAAAAAATTCTTATTATTTTTATTATTTATATATGCATTTGTGTCTATTAGATTGTGCAAGTAGTTTTTATATATATTATTAATATTACATCTTTTGTTGAGTTGAACACGTTTCCACTTATTTGATGTTAACTATAAAGGCATATTGTGATCATCATTTGTCAAATCATTGTGATTACGTGATAAATACGAAGACGACACTCAATAATGTTCAGTTACGGTCGATCTATTTTTTTTTTATACAATTGTTTAATGATCGATCGTTATTTATTATAGTATATACACATAAACATCTATTCCTTTTCATAAATTTTTATATTTATCAAATAGCCTAGATACAAAAGAGAATGGCGATGAGACTGTACAAAAATAAAATAATAAGGTCATATTCTTCTCGCGAGACCTATTTATAGAGGTAAGAAAATAAAATTTATTGTAATCCATCAATGTTAGAAAAAGAAATATTATTTTGAGAGAAATAAGTCATTTAGTAGACCAACTATATATAGAAGAACTTGAGAGAAATTCGGAACTAATAGAATTATTTAAGCGATAAACACTGCATAAGGCGAAGTGGAGAAAAGTGATCTTTACTACTAAACTACGTTAAAATTATAACAGATCATACAGTTTACAGTTGAAAAGACGATTTGTATTAGATAAATCTCCGACAATAAGAACAAAGACTCTTCTATTTTGAAAGAGTATTTATTTGAACTAGATCGGAAAAATGATATTCAATACTATTTAGATTTGTTTACTCAAAAAAAAAAAAGAAAAAAGTTGAAAATGTGAACTTCGTTCAAAAATATAATACAGTCTACAAGAAACAAGAGCAATATTTGACATTTAACTATATATTTATTACGAATGTTTAAGGATAAAGAAATACAAAACTCGATTCCACCTGAAGAAAAAAAAAATTCTACTTTGAACACTTTATGAAATCACATTATGCCTGATTAGAAAAATTGTATGCGTATATTCTAATTGAATTGAAAATTACTGTTTGCATAAAAATCATGCTGCGTTTATCAAAATACAATTCTTTCTCTGCTAAATAGATTTGATTTAACACATCTATTATTCTTTTCATCATCCATAATGTTAGACAAAGTTTATATCGTCTGTTCTTTCTTCAAGTGTTTGTACATTGTTACGTCAAACAGACTTTCTTTCCTTTTTTTTCTTCTTCTCTGTATTTATTGTCATTGAAAACATAAGTCTTCATTCAGAAATATTTTGTCATCATGTAGAGCTTTTCTTTTTCCAAGAACGAGACACAAGTATATTGTACACATACACACACACACACACACATATGTCTCTTTAACAATATACATACACATGGATCAGAATATAATGTTCAACGTATTAAAAATAATAGTGATGGTGGCTGTTTTTTATGAAAGTAATAAAAAAAGACAATTTTTCTGATGTCAAGCTGTTTTATGCACTGTTGATAGATATATTATTTTCTTTCCATCTTTTTTTATCCGCAAGGACAAAACCTTTCGACTTTTTTTTTGTGCAAGAACAGTATTCTTGTTTTATCATTAACACCTCTATATAACCATCCTGATGATCTTTGGGTTGTAGTTGTTTCTTTCTTTTCGTTTTAAAGAGAACACTCTAGAGTTTTTTCTTCGTCTAAATAATCATCTAATAGTTTAACTTTGCCTAAAAATTTACATTAGATACAAATGGAACGTTCGATTGTATTAAAATAGATTACGATTGTGTGTGTATACTGTCTACATAAAAGACCTTGATTTCTAATTATTTTATCACATCATTACCTCTAGATTCGTCGAAAAATGGTTAAAAATAACCATAGCTCGAAGACACTTGGAAAATTATTTCAATTATATTTACCGAAAACTCATCGAACATATAGTTGTGTTCATTGTCGAGCACAATTGGCAAATCATGATGAACTCATATCGAAAGTAAGAATTTTAATTATATCTTTAAATTGTTCATTATTCTTTCTTTTTGTTTCAGTCGTTTCAAGGCAGTCAAGGACGAGCATATTTATTTAATTCTGTGTATGTATTTTTAAATTAATTAGTATACATTATTTTCAAAAAATCAGATTTGAACTTTTAGTGTCAATGTAGATACAAGTGCTGCCGAAGAACGTGTACTATTAACTGGATTACATGAAGTAGCAGATATTTATTGTGAATGTTGTAAAACGTTACTTGGATGGAAATATGTGAGTTCTTTGATTTTTGTTTTTTTCCATTATACTCAGACGTTAACATTACTTATTATTCACTCGATATTACACAAATTAAATTGACCTTCGATTTTTCTGTTCGGTTATTGAAGTGACATGTAATAGGGTATTGTATCGATGGCGAAAAAAAATAAATAGAAATTAACTAAATTTTTGATTGATTTCTATAGTATGAAAACACATTAAAGAAAAATTCTATGATAAAGAATATTTCTATTTAAGGAACATGCATTTGAATCCAGCCAAAAATATAAAGAAGGAAAATACATTATTGAACTTGTTCATATGATAAAGGACAATGGATGGGATAATAATGATGAGAATCTAGATAAATCCGACTATGTGAGAAAATAGAACAACGTCAATTTCGTCGTTGTTGTTATCAATTGTCTTTCTTGTTTTTTTTTCCTCTTACCCTGTGTTTCTTTCTAAATATATTGACTAATACTTTATTACAGTGATGAGGCTGATATAAAAAAAACAAAAAAACACATTTCCGTATAAATATTTTTTTTGATTATTATTTTTTTTTTCTCTATGGTATGAACAGATCGATTTTAGTTGTAATAACACGTAGTAAATCGTTAAGCGAACGTTATCTTTTTTCCTTTTTTCTTGTTTCTAGTCATCTTTTTCTTGTTTGAAACGTTTTTATGTTCTATCTCTAAGTTGTTAAGTAGGCACATAGATCTTTATTTCAGTCGCAACAATTGATGTGCCTTTTTCAATTACTTGACTATTTAGGCCCGCCGCACATTTGTTTGGTGTTTATATTTTTTTTACAGAGAGATACGTTATTGTTCTTTTTTTTTTGTAAATATGTTTACTATTTTTTTGTTTTTTATTGTTTTACCTATTTTCTTTGAAAAAAACCTCTCGATATGGTTTTTTTTGTGCTGTAAATAGATGTGTATGTAATGAGACTATGTATACGATTTTTTGGGTCTCTTAGTAGAAAAGAGTAAAGAAAAAAACGAAATACAAATCATTGAATTATTTTAATCTTAAATTTAACAATAATAGTCTTAGAATTACACATATACACACGTTTAAATTCATATTTCTGATGAAATGCATAAATCTAGTACTCAATTTAAAATGAAAAAAATTGTACATTTCCAAGTTGAATAAAAAATTGAGAGGGAGAACAACGAATTGAAATTGAGAACACAATGATATCATTCTGATACTATCTCACCTATTTCTAAATTATATGAAAAAAACTTTATTCCTTATTCAAAAGTATGTACATATTTTAAAAAAGAATCTAAACGAGTATAGTCATACGTCTACTCGAAGATCTATCTTATATAGAAGCATTTAACTCTTCAACAAATAACTACAAATACTCTTCGTCAAGTTTTTCCTCATTCAGCTGTTCAATACTTCCTATATTACAAACAAATGTAATTCGAAAGACAATTTTCCTTCTAAACACTATGTATTCTACTTCAAAAAAATCTTTCTCAATAGAAACATTTCAAGCTAAAAGTTTGCTTTAATAATTTAAAAAATTAATAACTATCTTATTTCACGGTTTATAAACAAATATATTCGCAGATTATTTATACAAGCATTTTTAATAATGTAAGAAACAACAACAATGACAAGAAGAGTGAATAACACAAGAAACTGCACGAAAGTAGAGACCTGCGTTTCTGATTATAATCGAGAAGAATGGCGATATTCTCACTCTAAAAACTGGTTTCAAGTCTAACAAATTTTTTGTCTCGTTTTTTTCAGTGAATATCTGTCAGAAATTTTTTACTAATACTAAATTGTCTGTCAGAGTTTAAATTCCTCTACATTGATTGGAAATTCTACGAGAGATTGTATCTAAAACAACAAAAAAGCTCAAAAAAAAATCGCATGTTTTGAATCAATGAACAGATGATGTAGCTCTTTGTCATAGAATTTTAATTAATAGTTAGATTTTATGTTTTGATGTTTACATGAAATTGTTTTCTAAAAAGAAATATTAAAGCTCTAGCATTATCGGGTAGGGGACATAAATACTTGACTAGGTGATTGTGGGCACTGAGCATTATGTTTTAGAGAATATTTTAAAAATAGCACTTTGATGTCGTGGAAATTCCATTAAATAGGCTTAATTTATTTCATCTGAAAAAATTTCATTTGAGAAGTAGCCTGTATGTTAATAATTTAAATGATCACAGGTCACGATCACATACACACACACACACACACACACATTGTGGCACACTAACATCCTTGAACTCATTGGACAATATTTCTAACCAACGAAGCATTTTCACAAATTTACGGATAGTAAATCAGTATTATATTACAACAGCAAATACGCTTTTAAGTAGATATTTTTATTTGATCTTTGAAAGATATATTACCTTTTACAATTGATCACTGATTTTTCAAATTTTAACTGTTTCTGGCAGGTGAAAATTAACACAATGTATAATTAACTAAAAAATCTATTTTCAGAAAATAAGGCCTCAATAATTAAAAAATAAAAAAAGAACGAGCAAATATATTTTTTATTTTTCTCTCAACGTGCTCGACATTTCTAAAAAAATGATAAAATCGCCCCTCATACATATTATTTGATTCGTCTCATTTACAAAAAACAACAACAATATTATCGAGAAAAAAATGAATGATATTATTCATGTCATTGATTTCAACAAGGTACCTTTATTAGTTGCAAACGACTTGTCATCCCATCTAGAATATGGTTAAATAATAAAAACGAAGAAGAAAGAAAAAAACAAACATGATTGGCGTTGTTATTTACTGTGTTGCTTTTATCGGCTTTATCATTTTATATGAATTACATAAACATGAATTGAAAAAAGCAGCAATTACACAAAACAATTTATTAAATAGTATTACTGAACCACAATCAGCAGACATAATTGGGAAAACGTCTGATAAACGATTGCCTACTATACCTAACACAAAGTAAGTGATTGTGTATTCAATTGTAAAGAAAAAGAAAAATGTTGATTTTTTTTCTCTCTAGATCATTCGATAATCTCAAAGAAGAAATACGTTCATTATTTCATTTTTCACAATTACATATTATATTTGGCATTGATTATACGGCTAGTAATGAATGGCACGGTAAGATTCTTGTATGAATAGTTTCAGTCGAATAAATGTTTGTAAATTATTTTAGGTCGAAAATCGTTTAATGGACAAATGTTACATAAAATACATGGAAACAAAATTTATAATCCATATCAAAAGGTACGTCAAACTATATTTTAGATATACCACTTTATATGGTCGACTTTTGTATTCACAGGTAATCAGTCAATTGGGTTCACTAGTTGAAGATATATTTTCCATAGTGAAATATTATTGTTTTGGTTTTGGTGATCAAGATACAAAAAATTTTGCCGTGTTTCCAATTATTGGCTCCGGTGAAGAGATTGTAAAACACCAGTTTGTTTTAGATGCGTGAGTTTATTATCGTGTGTTAACTATTGACACTTGTTGAACAACAAATAAGTTTTCAAAAAATAGTTGAACACTAATCGGAACTTTCATCTTTAATGGTAGAAGAGTCTTAATCAATATTCAGATAAGAACAGGTGATCTCTGTATTGTCATCACTTAATAAGATGGGTGGGAATATCTGATAGATATAGTAGTTTGGAGATGGTCAGTTTCATTTATTTTTGGGACGTTGATATAGTTCACACCTGTTTTTATTTTTGTTTGACTTTCGTATTTCAAATGTAAGTCAAATTCTTTTCATTTTTTGTTTTTGTTAATAGAATTTATGAAATCCATACTGTCATTTATAGGTATTTGCAAACAACAAAGACAATAAGTTTAAGTGGTCCAACATGTTATGCACCGATTATCAGTAAATTGATCGATAGTGCTGTACGAAATATGCAAGCATTCATGATGTTGATAATTGTTGCTGATAGTTCTGTAGACTTGAACGATATATTGATGATTTCTACACTTCAAACATTGTCGAATATTTCGAATGCGTGCGTAGTTTTAATAGGTATTGGTGATGGACCATGGCACGAAATGGCAAAAATTGAACATCGAATACGTGAATTATGCCTTAAATCACCAACGATGGCGGCGATAACGAATAAAAAGGAACAAAATCCTCTATCATCAACAAACTCAGTTATCTATGACAATTTTCATTTTGTTGATTATAATAAAATTGCTAATGCTCATCAACGAACAAATATTGCAATGGACAAAGAATTAGCGAAAGCTGTATTTAAAAAATTCATAACGCAATTAAAACAAACACGATTAAAGTTTCAACAACAAGGTCAAGTGGAGTAAACACTGTTGTGTTTTTGTATTATTTAATAAAAATGTCTAATCTTTCTTTTGTTTTTTTAATAAATACTAGATGTCTAGATGAAAACTATTTCCAGTAAAATTCTTTTAGTTCTATGAAGGTAACTAGGTCTGCTTTATGTGTGTGTGTGTTTGTGTATGTGCCCTTTTGTTTACCTAGCGTGTTTATTGGTTGCTCACTACTTTTGCTTTTCAAATACTTCTTTATTTACACGTTTACATTTAGTTAGCACTAACTTTGATCTATACGTACAATTTTTAGTGTTGCTTGCTTTTATATAAACCGTTTTTATAAGTGATGTTACATATGCATTTATGAACGAAGGTGGGCACTTTTATTCTTATTCCCAAATTGCAGATCAATACTTTAACTTGCTTACTTGGAAAAAGCTTTTTTAATTATGTGTAGTCTATATCGATATCTATTTAAATGGAAGGCGTGAAAAGAAATCTACTATTGTGGTCAATTGTAGATGCTAAATTGAATGATTGTTGGAGTATCTTTTCGTTTTTCAAGGTCTTTCACAATTTTTTCGTTTCGTAAATATTCTCAAAAAGCTTACAAAGTGGCTCATGATGTGGACGTTGCCTATCAAGTATGTTTAATCAGTGCACTCGCTTCTTTTTTCCCCCCCTTAGAAATCTGTCTACGTATTTTAGGATGCAATTCGAGTACTTAATCAGTTGCAATCAAATCAAACATACATAAAACTTGCTGAGAAAACTTCCAATCAGTCAGATGCAACAAGACCTTTCAATGATCGATTTAAAAATAAGAATACAATTACACAATTTTTATCGTTTTTAAACATTCAGGTGAAGGCGTAAGTTGTTTTGAACGACGAGCGTCGTTCATGCCTGGGAGGAACAGAGAGAGAACTGTTTTTTTTTTGCCGTTACTTGTAAACAACTGATAACCATTTTCGTTTTTCTCTTTAGCTCGATGATGTAGATAAGTTAAACATTATACACGTGGCTGGAACAAAAGGAAAAGGATCAACATGCGCATTCGTCGAATCAATTCTTCGTCAACATAACTATAAAACCGGTTTCTTTAGGTTAAAATAGGCTGTGTACAAATTGTCAGTTAACTTGATTATGCTTTAATAACCTTATAGTTCACCACATTTAATCGAAACTCGTGAGCGTATCAGAATAAATGGTAAAAATTTATCAAAAGAGAAATTTGTCAATTATTTTTGGCATTGTTATAATACAATTGATACAGCAGTTAGAAATGCTACTGTAGGTGTCTAATTTGAACGATCGTGTCCGTAAATTATAATTTGTATTCTTCATTCTTATCTTTCAGACGGCAGAAATTAATATGCCATTTTACTTTTCATTTTTGACGACAATGATGTTCTATGTTTTCATTCAAGAACAGGTAAAGTAGTTGATTACTGAATCCTTTAAAATAGAATTTTGCCTCTGGTAGATTGGATTAATCCACAAAATAGTGTTATGTATCATGTTTTTATTGATGATATTTTTTAGGTTGATGTTGCTGTTGTTGAAGTAGGGATTGGTGGTGAATTTGATTGTACAAACGTTATTCAGTATACTCAATTCTTATATTTTACATTTATTACACTTGATACCTATAAGAGAGTATTTCTTTTTATAGAAAACCAGTTGTGTGTGGAATTACGTCATTAGGATTTGATCATGAAAAACTATTAGGAAATACAATTGAGGAAATTGCTTGGAATAAAGCAGGCATATTTAAAGTAAGTGACAATATTATTACAATTATTGTAAACAAATTATTACTCTTTCAGTGTTTTTGAGTTTAGGACAACGTTTTTGCTATCACGTCACCGCAAGTACCAGAAGCAATGAACACCTTGAACAAAACAGCCAGGAAAAAAAATGTAGGCAATTTCTCCGATGTTACCGTTATTAAAAAAATAAATAACTGCTGCGCTCTGTATAAAATGTTAATTTAATTTTTATGTACAAGACCGTTTATGATATTTTTTTAGGCTTATTTATCAATAGCTCCACTGTTAGAGGATTATCCACAATATCCGTTTCCAATCTCGTTAGATGGAGAAGTACAGAAAAATAATGCATCGTTAGCAATTCAACTCGTTTACTTTTGGTTAGCTGAAAAAGGTATTCAATTCACTAAACAATCAGACAAAATTTTTTTCGGTATTTTGATTTATATTTACTTCGTGTGTACCATCCATCTGAACATCAAAACATCAAAGAACGAAAATATTAAAAAGGTTTAATATTGTTTAGGTCTTTTGAACAAAAATCATCCGCTTGTTCAATGGTGTGAAGATAAAAATACGTATACCGAAAATATCGCAAATTGTGTAGGACCTGTATTTCAATTAGAAGATTTTGTATTTAAAGGTACGAACGGGAAGTGTATTTTACACTAGATTGAATTGTTTCTTGTAAGACCTTCTTTTATAGGTTTAGCCGGTTGTCAATGGCCTGGAAGAAATCAAATCTTTGATCGAAATAATGTGACCTATTACATCGACGGAGCACAGTCAGTATTTATTGAATAGTTTATCTATTTTATTAACGCAACTTATTAAAATTATAGCACACAAGAATCAATTGAACAGTGTAAAAATTGGTTTTTGAGCAAAACACGCGATCATAGCAGTGACAGGACTATTTTAGTTTTTTATTGTTCAAATGATCGTAATCCTGCAACATTATTACTACCATTACTGGTAAGTTAAACATGCCTCTTTTACACAACGCATTTTAACTTGTTTCAATACAATTAAGGATTGTGAGTTCGATGAAATTTTATTTTGTTCACCAACCGTCATAGTAGATACCAATGTGAAGGATGATAATGGTAAGAATTTTTCCTTTATGTCGATCATTTGATAGCATCCATTTCCTCCATAGATCAATGGCGTTTAAGCACTAGTATGCAGTTAGAAAGACAACGTTTATCAACGCACGTGGAAATTTATAATCAACTGTACTTGAAATCAAATAACAGAAAAAGAGCATACGTTCAATGTTTTGATTCCGTAACTGATGTTATCGGTTGGATTATATCGAACAAAATGAAAAAGGATTTGGATAATGGAAATATTATGCCACAAATAAAATCGGACCAAAACGTTCGCATACTCGTCACCGGAAGTTTATATTTAGTTGGGGCTCTATTGAAGTTAATTGATCCTGATTTGACTGGCAAATAATTCTATAGACAATCTAAAGGTGTAATTAGACCAAGTTTGTTTTTAGTAATCTGCGATATTTTTTAATTATTTTCTGCTCACTTGATTGGATAAATTGTTACCCACGTGAAATTTTTTTATGATTGCTATTGTGATTGATTATGTAATAACAGAAATTTTATAAAGAAATTAGAAAAAGTTAAAAACATTAGGGATCAATGACTAAAAGTATGTGGATGGTTTCTCTCGAACTATGATAACTAGTGACGTCGAATTTGCTGTGGTTATAGCATAGAACCTCACTAAATCCTGATTGTCTCGACAGTATTGGTCTCTGCGATTGAATGTTCCATAAGACAGGAGCATTTCAGCTTTTTTTGCAATACAATGCTAATGACTCCTGAGTAAAGCGAGGTACACACTTTATAATTGTGTACGTTTACGGTCACTTTTGAGTCTTTTTAAGAACGAATTCAGCCAGGGGGCGACTGGGGAATTGTGGGGGGGATCGTTACTCACCATGCTTTCAGAAAATTTTCTGTTTTGTGTCTTTCGCTCTTCGAAAAACCATCTTTTTTTGGAGGAACGAAAAATGTTTTTTGGCAGCGGGGGGGGGGGGGGGGGGGGGGGGGGGGGGGGGGGGGGGGGGGGGGGGGGGGGGGGGGGGGGGGGGGGGGGGGGGGGGGGGGGGGGGGGGGGGGGGGGGGG